TGCTGGGAGTACACCTGACCGTCTGGAAGCTGAAATGACCAAGGTTGGAATAATAATAATAATAATAATAACAACAACAACAACAACAACAACAATAATAAAACTCATTTTTTCAAGGAGTGACTAACTGAACGACCACTGCATCGAGTTTATGTGCAGTGTGTTGAAAGGGTCAGCAATCCTGCAGAGTCATTCGCTTGGATAAGGTCGTCTGGCCTGAAAAGTGAAACTGTTTGCTGCTCAGGACCAGTCACTTCCAACTCGAAACCGTCAATGTGTGATTTTGCATAATTTTTGCATGTAAATATGAAATGTAGATTATTTAATTAATTGAATGAGACTGTCAAACATTTTGTCAGTGGATGCCCAGCTTTGGTACAAACACAGTATCTTAAGCGACATGATGGTGTAGCTCGATCATTTTATTACCGTCTTCGCCATGCTTGTGGTTTTGACACAGAGGTCCACTCATGGTACGACACGGAATATGTAGAGGGCGTCATGGAAAATGATAAATATAAAATTCTTTGGAATAGGCGCATTTACAGTCTCAGACGTATCCAGGCCAACAGACCTGATCTTGTCCTTTTTGATAAATCCAATGAAATCATTTATATCATTTAAATTTCTGTCCATTTCGACACTAATGTGATTGACAAGATTGAGGAAAAACATGGCAAATATGACCTCGTTTTCGAAATGTCACGTTTGCATCCCAAGTACCAAGTTGTCCGACTCCCAAATGTTCTCGGTGCCTTAGGTTTGGTACCTCCCAATCTGTTGACTGACATTGGGAGGGTACCCGGGTTTACTGCCAGGAATATAGCCATTCTGACAATCTGGGTAATGCAGAAGGCTACAGTGTTGGGGAGTTCTGAGTGGGTTCGACTAGGCAGCGCTTCATGGGAGAAGTCCCATACGCTATCTGGGCTGCGTGTAGAAGGGGGAAGGACCCTGAGCTGATGATGAGCCTCACCAGCCTGACTGTGCCAGGATCACCCGAACCCTCTTTCCTGCATTTATATATTTTAATCTGTACGTAATAATGGCGTTGTACTCCATGCATAAACATGCTCTGAGCACTTTAACATTTTTACCCCGTTCACTGGATCAGTGTGCACTCAACAATCATTCTCAGCTCCCTGGGGAGTATACAACCCAAGTTGCCTGTGAGGCGCTTGATGGTTGACAACCACAATGTCCTCTCATCCTACCGGGTACCCATTCACTGCTGGGTGAACAGGGTCACATACCCAAGCAGACAACGAATGTGTTACATATGCTTCAGTGTGAGGCAGGTCCGAAGCCCTAGAAACTCTCGGGAGTGATGTTGCCGAACACGGTCACCCATCCAACTACTCTCCGTCGCCAACGTTGCTTAATAAACCTGATTTGTGACGAAAATAGGATATTATCAAATGCATCAACACCGAATAACCATTTCTTGTTTCTCCACTGCCCTCCACCTGTTGCCCCACAGTGCCTTCTACGGCTGCTGGGCGCCCCTCGTGGTTTATTCTCCCTGCAGTGTTTTATTGTACGACCACGAGTCGTTTATTTCTTAAACAGTGTTAAGAAATACAGAGTAAGCGATACGACTAATTTCACAGCAAGTTCAGAATTATTTCACGATTGCCAAAGTTTTGTTTAACGAAAGCTTACTGAAATACGATTTTACGGGCGCTTCTTCTGTTATTGCAACGTATAATTCATGTATCTGATAAGTACCGGTGTTGATGACTTGTGAGACATCAATGAACTAAATAACGAAAACAGGCAGTAAACATAGGTTGTTTGATGGGCATTACTTTAGAATTCGAAGTTGACGTCTAGTGACAGTTTTATCCTTCTGTTGTCAACACTTACTCGCGTTATCCTACTCATGTGCGCAATTGTTATTGTAACCTTTGGGATGTTAAGCATTACAGTGATAAAACCGAACGAGAGTTCAAGGTTTCGTTAACTCAAACAAAACGGGACAACCAGAACCAGATTCAGAATTAGATATTGGTATCCTGTCTGCCACTACAATCGAGACACTGTGCCAAACAGACGCTACGCTACATATTTGTCTATTTGGTAGAATAGGTCTTTAGCAACCAATGCTTGCCACAACAGGCGACTGTGCTTTTCGTAAGAGGCCACTAACGGGATCGGGCGATCAGGCTCGCTGACTTGGTTGATGAATGTTATCGATCCCAATTGGGTGGATCGATGCTCATGATGTCAATCACAGGATTGTCTGTCCAGACTCGATTATTAACAGACTGCCGTCGTATAGCTGGAATACTGCTGCATGCGGCGTTAAACAACAAACAAACAAACAAACAAAGGCCGGGATAAGTCAGAACTATTGTTTAAAGTTAAACATTCAACCACACCCGCATCATAAGGTGAGGACTTGCTGTAGTTTTATGCATATACGAAGCTCAACATTTCTCCACCTGAAGATCAATACATGAGCAGCCACATGTCGAACACGATCTGAAGTTAAATCTTCTTGCAAAGGGGAACAACTCTTTCGTGCATGTTTGAATGACGACCTTTGTCGGATATTTCTCTTATGTGGCATGCGCTTCGTCTTACACTACCTCAACAAATCTCGGTTCGGCGAAGTGAACCAATTGATCACGATGGTATTAGTTAAACTACGGAAGTAACCAAGTCAAGTAAACAACTTATCAGGATGTTTATTATAACGTTAAAGTGGAACAATTTCATATTCTTAGGGAGGGTGAGAAAATACCGTCTCAGATTTCGCCCCCAAATTTATGTAATTGTTCGCAGCATATGTTGCATGTCCTAGAAATGGAGTTGTGGAATGAAATTAAAGTTGTCCGGCTCTTCATTGCACGACGAATGGAGCGTTTAGAAACTGAAACCGACACCAGAGCTCCAAATAGAATGAGGCGCCACCAGTCGCCCACAGTGACCACGCCATATTCTACCAACTCGTATATATTTGCCAGGTTCAAGTCATCAAACAGTTGATGTACTAATACAAATGCAGTAAACTACGGTTATAAAGAACTCCAAGGGGCACTGATTTTAGTTCGTAATAACCGTAGTTCGTTATAAGCATATATACAGCATATATATAACAAATGGCCGGGACTAAAAATAAGTTCATTATATCGGTAAGTTCGTTATAAGCGTGTTTGTTATAAACGTAGTTTACTGTATACAAAGGGGTCCATGCATGTCTACACTCACTCACTGACGATCTACGCATTCACACTTGTAAAAGCTAGATTGATTTGTAGATTTTACCTTCCTAAATTGAATTCGGAACTGAACGAGCAGCTTCGAAATCCGCCGTGATGCGGCTGTCAAATTCAATCAGAGGTGGTTATTGTGATATTAAACCAGAGAGTGATTAATCAGAAGAGCCAGGTTTTCAAAGTCATGATACAATTCCTGCACAATTCGAGTCAATGGGAAGTTGTATGAGGTTTCTTGTCCCAGGTTGTTTCGTTGCTTTATTACGTTGTATGAGGTCCAAACTACTGGTCATAATCGCACACGACTGAACGTGACCCCCATGATATGACACTCAGGTAATGCTGTATATTACCCACGTGGTGAAGATACAGGTGGTAAGATACTAAATCCGTACGTCACACGTGTGTCGTACAAGGTTGACATCGTTATATTCCATTTGATTGCATAACCTTGACCTCTCTCACATCGGGACTACTTTCTTCATTCATAAAAAAATCACGAGACGGCATTCACGTTATTAAACCAAACAAGATAACCACACGCATCAAATTCGCTGTGCAGTCTATGTATGCATAGAGCTACTACAAACATTATATAATCAAGTAATATTAATAACTTCTTTGAAATGTACGACTACCGATAGATCGAAGTCCGTATGAGTAGGGTGCACCCAACCACATTCTCTACTTTCAATTTGATTTGAAACGTAAACAGTTCAGAAGGAAAGTCAGTTTAAACTATCTGGACAGATATCTAGACTTCCGTTCTATATTCCGGTTGTGCCATCAGTGTCCCTTTCGAAGCGTATTTTGTGGCATTGTTTCTGGAAAGGTATTTGTTTATGCATCAACGTACACGACTGCAATATCCGATTACTCAAGGTGAACAGTTCCGATACACATCATTAGAAAACTCCGTGGAAGCGTGCCTTACTTCTGATTTTGTGGCCCAAATGTGATCACTACCATTCCCCATGGACCTCAAGCGTATAACGCTGTGAGTAGATTACGGTTGTCTTTTCTTATCCTCCTGGTGACCTTGCCCTTCGTTTGAAGCTGTCAAGCGGATTCGAGTTTGTTTATTTTCACGTCTTCAGTATAGGGTCGTACAGGTAACATCAGCGTCTTTGGTGAACACTCTGGTTCCCCAAAGCCGTACGTACAGGACATAAATTCAGCTGATAGATCAAGGTACCCGCACCATTTTGACTGCCCAGACGGGGCCCTGTCGGTGCGAGTGACCGACTGCTGGATCCGAGATTCAAAGAGCGGGGCTGTTAGAATTTTTTTAGTTTTCTTACAGTTGTCCCGTGTACTAACAACAATGCCCCTGGATTACCAAAAGTTGCAGAAATTCTTAAATAAAGATTTTGAGCATTGGTGCTACCAGGTTTGCACACACAACAGCAGAAACATGTTGTTAATGTGTATGCATAGAAATGTCAACAATGACCATGTTTGGGCATATATTAATATTCATACACAACCAGATTTGCAACCGGTTTCAGTTTGGTCTGTTAACGGACATTTGTTATGTATTTACACTTAAATACTAATATTTATGTAACGTGGGTTATAAATAAGATGCCACACTCATTCTCGTTAGATACCATTGTTACGAAACTCGTGGACTTTCAATGGTATCTGGCTTCGTTTTCGCTCGGTCAGATACCAGATAAAGTCAACTCGTTTTGTGAAAATATTTTGTATCTGACGAGAATGAGTGTACTTATATTATCTATGTATGACATACGCTCAAACAGACACACAGACATTATGTTCAGTCGACAGACTTTATTTGAATCCGATAATGCACGTGAATAAATCATATCAAACAGGTCTAACAGTTAAAAGCAAACAAGCATGTCACATTACAAATGACGTACATATATATATTCAAAGACAAAATGACATTGTTGACATTCAACATTAATTATGATGCTAAGGAATCTCTCATTCTTCTATCTAAACACACGACAAATGGCTTTTTACGACAAACAATGGTAGCGGGTGACACCAGGAGTTTCACACATTGTACTTATGTGGGGAATCGAACCCGGGTCTTCGGCGTGACGAGCAAACACTTTAACCACTAGACTACCCCACCGCACCTAATTACATCATGTGCATAGGTTACTTTTCCCTTAGCCATTTCATCTACGTCCTTGCCTACGATGGCAGCATTTCGTCATTTGCATTTTTGTTTAAACATTGTGATATGGACCCGCGGTGAGGCCATGAAGAGAATTATGACAGAAGATATTTGGAAAAACAATTTTATGTTATAAATATAATCACTGAAAATGTTTCCATTCAGTTTTTTATGTGTGAAGAAACGGTTTGAGTAAATTACTTTTGCTGGAAACGACAACTCAGTTATGGTATTGGAATGGAGACTTATATTTCACTTGCTTCTGAGAGATCATGTTCTAAAATTGCTTACGTTAAAGGGCACCCCATCAGTTGAGCCCACCTAACATCAAATTAAATGTTGTTGTTCTTAAGCTGTGTATATAATGAATTCAAAATATTTTAAATCAACTACTACTTCATATACATCTACAGAGCAGAGGAATGGCTCTTAAAGCATGAGCTTCATATTTTGTGTCAGTCAACTGATTAAAGGAATAATATTTTCAAAACCACTTTGCTTATTTGGTTTGCATTTGTTACCTTAACAGAGACCCAGTTACGAGTCGATGTAACATCACGCATTTTTTATTTCATGTTAATAAACCAGAAATATCATTGAATATACGTTCCACATTTACTAATGTAAAGACAAAATGGGGTTTTAAACTGTTTCTTTATCACAATTAATGGAAACCCTAACAACGTATTGTATATGGTAATTTGTTAAGAAAGAATAATTTGACAAAATAAAATGAAAGATTATTTGTCATTTATGTTTGGAATGTAAATACAGACAGAATATGTTCCAATATAAGAGCTGCGAGGTGCACAAGTACACCTAAATGCCTTCATGCATTTGCATAATATTCAATAAGTATCGCAAAATGATAAACACACTTAATACACGTTTGATAAAAGCCAAACATTTTTTGGTTGTTGTTCAGATTCCATGTATCTCTTACTCCCGGTAAAAAAAAGTTTTTCTTTCAGCTTTCTTGTAGGTCTTGCGGATGTAATTCTGCGATTAGCCTAACGGGAGAACAAATCCCTGCACGATTGGTACAAGTTTACACGTGGTTCCGACAAACCGATGCTATAGGGTTCGAACTCACAACCAGCGCCTCTCGTGTGTAATGACATCTGGCTGAGTGAATGAGTAAGTTGCTACGCAGCTATTGGCAATATTCCAGGACTATCGATAACGATACCACAAAAGGTATCATATTGTACCCATGTGGGGATCGAATCCGGGTTTCCGGCGTGACGAGCGAACTATTTAACGACCAGGCTACCCCGTCTCCCCAACTGACATTTATGGCATCAATTAATTGTATAGGTCCTAAGATTCCAATAACTACACAATTGTAACGAATACTGTTGCAAAACGATGAACTCGTTATACTATATTAAGTATAAATCATTCTGAGCCAATGTCAGTCAAGGTTTATCTGACTTAAATACACAAACGGAATGCCTACAATGTCAATCACGAAGCATCTTAATACGTATTACATTGGAATAATCACTAATCTGTATTTCTAACAGTTGACAATCGATACCTATATTAGTATTGACAAAGTACATATAAATTAATCACAACTACCAGGGTACATTCTTGGTATTGTGAGTTCTAAATAATTCTTAACAAGAAGTCATTTTACGTGTCAGAATCATCCAAAGAGTCGTTGAAACTGCACGCTCCTCGAGCAAGCAGAAGCTGAATTGCCTCTGTGTAATTCCTCCCCACTGCAAGTCTAAGAGGTGTCTGTCCACCATAGGTTTCAGCGTTCACGTCAATGTTAGACCTCCGAAGCAGAAACTGCATCACTGGGATGTTATTTGCCTCCGCAGCAAGGTGAAGTGCAGTCCTACCACTCTTGTGCTCGCGACAGTTCACGTTTGCACCACGATGCAACAAAAGTTCAAGAATATCGATGTTGCTTTCCATGGCAGCAAGATGAAGACATGAGTTCCCGTCATAGTTGGTTATTTCAAGATCCTGGGGTATTCTCTGATAAGGTAGTTCGTATTTGTTACCCCGAGTCTCCTCGAACATAACGGGTTTAAGAAGAATGGATACAATTTCGGTATGTCTTTCTCGACAGGCAATATGGAGTGGTGTGTTGCCGTTGATATCTCTAGCTTCAACGCTAGACCCTGCTGCCATTAAACGACGTGTCGTCAAAGCATCTTTCATGATGACAGCAATATGCAAGGGGGTCTGTACAAGACGATTGGTTATGTTGAGCCAGTCCGGATTCAGCGCCAACGATATAAACCACATAACTAACTTGGATTGTTTCTGGATGATGCCCAGATGAAGATGAGTGTCGCCATCTTGGTCTTTGGTATAAACAACGTTCCAGTTTGAATTACAGTCACAATCAGAACAAACTTCGCTCTCCTCTGTAGACCATTCTTGTCGACATATGCCATCGCAGTCGATATTGTTATCAGTAATCTCATCCACGTGGCCTGTGTCTGATAAAAAGTCTTGTGAATTGATTGATTGACTAAAATAGCCGTCGTCTAGAGAAGGGTGGTGATGTTCCCCTCTATCTGCCACCTTCATTTGTTTAAATGAGTTTGCAAGAGAGTCGGTGTCCACGCCATCGGTTTTTGGACGTTTCTCTTGGCTTTGTTCTACAACACACATCAAGTCGCAAGAGCAAGACCATTCCTCTGGTGGAGATATCATTTGTGGTTTCATATTCCTGGAAACAAAAAAAGGGGAATAAGTCGGATACAAAGAAACACGTTGCAAAAAAACATCCAGGAACAAAAAATAAGATTTTATACTGAGACGAACGTCGAATGAGTGTAGTGCGATGATGACATACATTCAACCCGGCAAGTGGACATTAAGTTAATTGGACAGACAGAATCAATATTTGCATATTTGCATATGTGAATACAACATACCCAGCGGTTCAAACATGTAAAAGTTAACAAGTATTTCAGATTACAGAAAGGATGTGTGTCAGTGGGGTTTAACACCGCTTTTAACAGTATTCCAGTTATATCACGGCGTGTCAGCTTAATGTGGGAGGAAAGCCCGAAGTGATACAGGTCTCAGACATTTACCACTTTGATTGAAGCCACGAACACGGGTATGGTGCGGACAAATCTAGAAACATAATTGGGTCGAGCATGGATTCGAACCAACAATCATAGGTTTCACTCAAATGGAATATTTTCTTAACGTAATACATTCTTCCACTGACCAGAATGAGGAAAGTGTCATTGGCAGTATGTAACATATAACAAGTGAAGCTTCGATCTATACAGGGGTAAAAGGAAGTAATCGAAGGGTAATTCCGAAAGTTCCAAGAATATGCATAAATGTAATGTGCTATATCTCACGTCACGCGTGTGCTCCGTTAACATTCACCTGAGTCCAACCTAATAATAGTGCACAATATCTACTTTCGACTGCCCGGAGAACGGAAGGTTTTCTTGGAACTTCAATTCGGTGAACCTGTTGGTTTATTTTCATGCAATGCTAAAGACTTACTAAATAGTACGTGTTGTTATCCTGCCTAGCTCGGCATTAAGAGCATAAAACAAAGCCTGTCGACTTACTATATATGTGTCATATCTTGAACACGATGTTAAATCCTATTTCACCTTACTTTAGGAATCTGTTTTTTAGTTAAATCAGATAGGCTGGTTTGATATATTCAAATATCTTCAACGCCATAACATATAATGTGCCTCGGCTTAAATGTGGCTTATTCAATAAATCTATGCACACTTAGATTCAATAGTAAATAAATTAATTTCTGTTTTGTCATAAGGTCGTCATTTCATAGATTTATTGTTAAAAATATATCGATGGCACTGTTAAATCGTGTCAACTGGTATATGTGTTACAGTCAATGTCCATTATCAGGAAATATGTACAGTGACTGAATATGTCAGTCAATATACATAATGCTGGAAAAGTAAGATAGGCTGGATTTTAGACAGATTTTCGTAAATGAATTGACCAAGAACGACTTGTTTGCGTTACTTGAAATTTAAATAAACACGACAAAACCCTTTCCATATCCACAAGCATGCGAAAACGTATGTTTAAACAATACCACTGTTATCCTTTCACATATTTGTTTACAATATCTTATATATAAATTAATCGTGTTTGAAGAGCTATTCCAGTTTCAAATGAACGTTTTGGCACAATTTCAATTGTGTGCATTTTTTAATTGAACTACATGTTATGTCAATAAAGATAAAAAACATACACAATGGATACGAGTATTCTTCGTGAATTTTTCTGTGTAAACAGAAGTTATTTTGATCATCCTAAGATCAAAATAAATCCAATTTAAAATGAGAGATTAAATTAAGGAAGCGGACTGATTTCAGTCAGTCAGTATAATATTTCAGGCAATATGTATATTGACTGAACATTTTAGTCAATATGTGCATACCTGTGTGAGTCACTCAATATATATATACAGTAAACTACGGTTATAACGAACTAAAAGGGACCACTAATTTTAGTTCGTTATAGCCGTAGTTCGTTATATTTATATGCATATATACAGCATAACTACAGTAAATAGTCAGGGCAAAAAAGGTAAGTTCGTTATATCCGTCAGTTCGTTATAAGCGTGTTCGTTATAAACGTAGTTTACTGTATTGGCCGATTCTAGACATTGACTGTAACACATGCATGCATCGTTCTGTACTAATGGCCGACATTGCTTTAAAAAATGTTTTTAAAAAATGAATAAATTTTGTTTGCAGGTTTGTTTTGATAACAGAAAATAATACAATAAACACATCGTAAGATAATACCGAGTCCTTCATTATGACTGCATTGGCGGATTCATAAAACTGTGATAACAGGTGACTCTGCAGGACATATATTTGACAAGATTGAATATGAAATTATTGAGACCGAAACACCTACCCAGATTGTATGCCCAATATTCAAATATAGTATTCCGCTTCTCGCTATGAGTCAGTTGTGAACTCACTCACGATCAACGGTTTATTTATCGTGAAGGGTTTGGAAATCCCTGAAATGAATAAACCTAGCGTCACAAGGAAGGGCGATAACCCCTTCGTGTCATTTTCCATTAACCGACATTCCCTATCGCTTCCTGTTACTGGAAACAGCGTTATTATTACGTAGCATTCACATTGTACAGTTTATCCCCCTGAACTAATGTTTATAAATATGCTACAGTGACGCTACAGAGCAACAGACGCTATACTTCACCGCTACACTTATCCTCTTCGTCATTCCATGAAATTCGTTATAAGCTATAAATAGCGGGGAATCCCCATATAGCGGGGAATCCCCATATAGCGACTTGAATTTATTGCGTGTGGATTTCCCGACGACATGTATGCATTGGAATGCCAACTGTCACATATATTTCAGTCGTTATGAATAAACATTGTACTGACTGCATGCGCAGCATGAATAGACTTTTTTTATTGTAATTATAACACGCAACAATAATTTTCGTTGTTCCCTATTGCGCACCCTATCCATTCTATACAAAGAGTTGATTTGCGTTTGATAAAGAGTTATATATATTAAATAATCAACATATATAACATTTTGAAGTATATTATATAGAGTTGATTTGCGTTTGGGAAAGAGTTATATATATTAAATAATCAACATATATAACATTTTGAAGTATATTATATACAAGGCGGAAATATTGATTTTTTTTCAAAACGAATTTTCCTTTCTGGAGGACTTAAAATAAACTAATGTCATGCTTAGTTGGAAGGGGACAATTGATGATGTCATCTGCGGGCATGCCCACTTCAGGTGGCTTTCATTGAATATACTTCTTATCAAATATAGTTTTACTTTTGCGTCATGTAGGAACTTGCTCGATATTATGATCTACTATAGTACTGAGTGGGTATTCTCGTCGTCATGCTTCCGTTAAAAGCAAGGGGATATCGGAGACATATTTCTGGGCAATCTCACTGAAAAAACATATTTTGAGTCATGCTAGTTGTCTGATTCGCGTCTTTTGTTTGACTGTGCTTCTCGATTAAAATGTGACGTCATAATATATGACATTTCAGAGATATAGATGCAGTAATCCATACGTAATGACGTCACAGATTATGAGCTTCACACATTGTACCCATGTCGGGAATCGAACCCGGGTCTTCGGCGTGACGAGCGAACGCTTTAACCACTAGGCTACCCGACCGCCCGGTACTGGAAATGTAGAGATTCTGTGCACCCCTATAGAAATATCCCCAGGTATAAACCGCCCTGTGATGAAGAGGTATATTTAAAGAAAATGCAAATAAAGATTGATTGTTTAAATTTCTTGCTTAACGCCGCAGTCAATACTATTCCAGATCTGTAAACAAACAATCCTGCCCGGGCTAAACAAAGCAGCTGTTTACACGAGAGCAATGACAGCGTTGTGTTACTATGACACTCTATCAACAAAGTCACCCCGCCTTACATCTCAATCCATGTAGTCACCTCGTACGATATAGTTTAAGGGTTAGGGTAGAAATGGACGAGACGAGAATTGTAGTCGAGTGTGCAGGACAATGACAACCTAATGCAATACCTAAGACACTCTTTAATTATATAGTCTTGGGTACCATCAATAAGTCACAACAATTAGGAGTCATTTAATACTTTTTGAACCATTTCATGTGAGCAGGGGGCACGGGTGGCCCAGTCGTCTAAGGCGCCGCGATTCGCTGCGCAGAGTTGCGTCCCTTGGGTATGCCAGAAACCTATGATTGTGATCCTGGTTATGTTTCTAGGTTTGTCATAAACCTACATAAACGTCGGGCATTCCTCCCACATTCTGCGTGCATACCGCGATATAAGTCTGTAAAACTGTTAAAAGCGGCGTAAAACCCAACTCACTCACTCATGTGATCATACTACATGGCGAAATTATCAAAAGGATCATGCAAATAGCCATAGCGACATGCTTTCTTAAATTTCTTACACTATAACGGAATTAGTTTCTCAATTGTCAAAAGTCAAGTGTGATAAAAACGCCTGTATTGTTACATGCAGCTACAACATCCCTGTATTGTAACATGTAGCTACAACATCCCTGTATTGTTAAAAGCAGCTACAACATCCCTGTTTTGTTACATGTAGCTACAACATCCCTGTATTGTTACATGTAACTACAACATCCCTGTATTGTTACATGTAGCTACAACATCCCTGTATTGTTACATGTAGCTACAACATCCCTGTATTGTTACATGTAGCTACAACATCCCTGTATTGTTACATGTAACTACAACATCCCTGTATTGTTACATGTAGCTACAACATCCCTGTATTGTTAAAAGCAGCTACAACATCCCTGCATTGTTACATGTAGCTACAACATCTTTGTATTGTTACATGTAGCACCACCATACCTGTATTGTTACATGTAGCTACAGCATACCTGTATTGTTACATGTAGCTACAACATCCCTGTATTGTTACATATAGCTACAACATCCCTATCTTGTTACATGTAGCTACAACATCCCTGTATTCATACATGTAGCTATAGCATACCTGTATTGTTACATATAGCTACAACATCCCTATCTTGTTACATGTAGCTACAACATCCCTGTATTCATACATGTAGCTACAACATCCCTGTATTGTTACATGTAGCTACAACATCCCTGTATTGTTACATGTAGCTACAACATCCCTGTATTGTTACATGTAGCTACAACATCCCTGTATTGTTACATGTAGCTACAACATCCCTGTATTTTTACATGTAGCTACAACATCCCTGTATTGTTACATGTAGCTACAACATCCCTGTATTGTTACATGCAGCTACAACATCCCTGTATTGTTACATGTAGCTACAACATCCCTGTATTGTAACATGTAGCTACAACATCCCTGTATTGTTAAAAGCAGCTACAACATCCCTGTTTTGTTACATGTAGCTACAACATCCCTGTATTGTTACATGTAACTACAACATCCCTGTATTGTTACATGCAGCTACATCACTGAACTATTGTAGATAACGCTGGCCTTCCCTAACAAAATACCCAATTACCACATCAACTACATATCATATTACTTGCATAGTCAACTCACCTCATCAGGGTTTGTCTTGAGGGGAAATTTCACATCGGATACCCAGTAACACTGCTGCCAACAAATCCTAACCAGTTTTTATATCTGATACCATAAATATCGACACGTCACCATGCGCTGTTGGCCGTAAATACTCTTTGGTACATTTCCAATTCGACGGATCCTTGTTTCACTTTAGTCAGAGAGTACGTGGATCATGGTACTAAAAATAATTCGTCAGTTTTACGTTGACCATTTTTTAAGGGAATTTGGTCAATCATGATGTTATCTTAACTAATTTATGTAATGCATGAATGTAACAGAAATAAGTATTTGAAGATGGTGATGAAACAATTGTGTTAGTTCATCCTCCCACATATTCGCTTAATTTACCAACACAGCGAACAGAGTAGAGAAATTAAAGGTTGGATTTACTGACACAAGGATAAATAATATGCTTCATAATACACACACGCCTCAGGGTGAGCAGCCGAGTTGTCCAAATGTGACAGTTCTGAGTTGAGCGGTGATTGACACTGTTCTGCTCGGGTGATGCTGGTGAGTGCGAGAGTTGGGTTTAACGCCTCTTTCAACTGTATTCCAGTTATATCACAGGACGGGGCAGCTTAATGTGGGAGGAACGCCCGAAGTGATGCAGGTCTCAGGCGTTTACCACTTCGGTGAAACCCACGATGGGGCTGACAAACCTAGAAACATAATCAGGGCGAACCGGGATTCGAATCCACTGGCGTGCCCAAGGGACGCAGCTCTGCACAGCGAATCGCGGCGCCTTAATCGACTGGGCTCAGACGTTTACCACTTCGGTGAAACCCACGAGCACGGGTATGGGGCTGACCAACCTGGAAACCGGGATTCGAACCCACAATCATAGGTTTCTTGCGTGGCCAAGGAACGCAACTCTGCACAACTAATCGCGGCGCCTTAGACGGCTGGGCCACCCGTACCCCCGATAAAACTACAGCTTAAAGTGACACACGATACTGAATATGGGTATGGTGCTGACAAACCTAGAAACATAATCGGGGCGAACCGGGATTCGATGTGTTTGTGTGTTTGTCTACGGTTGGATGAGGCGAGGTGAGGTGCACGTGTGTGTGCGTTGGGGAGGAGTGTTTGCTGTACAAGTACTAATGACGATTTTAAAGTGTCAGCCAACTGAGATACCATGCCGCAGTTTCACATAAAATACCCCTCAGACAGTATACTGACTCCGAACCTACAAGTCCTTGTTTTAGCCCCTTAATCCCGAGCACCAAGCAGGGTAACAACAAGTACCATATTGAACGTCATGAGGCGGCCGGGGATCGAACCCCGGACCTTCCACTCTCCGGATAGGTGCTCTACCACCAGACCACGGAAGCGGGTTCTACGGTTGACACTACCTAACATCGGTTTGTGTAGATCCACATATCAGGCCGACCCCAAAGAGACGGGTTCTGGCATATGCATATGCACCGCGGCCTCTAAAACTCAGAAAATCGGTATGTTCCGAGAATGCAGATTGACATACCTTAAACACCCACTCACTGTAGTTATATGAGATCATAAACATCGACACGTCACAATGAGCTGTGAGCCGGAAATAAACTCCCGCACTTTAACATTCGACGGATCCAAGTTTCGCTTTCGCAGAGAGTACGTGGATCATGATTGTTTAAATATGTCGTCAGTTTTACGCTTAGCATTTGATGTTCAGGGAATTCGGTCAATCACGATGCTATCTTAAATACTGTAATGGAACAGAAAAAATGTTATGCGTGGGATATTTGACGACGGTAATGAATTTGCGTGATTTTATTGTCCAACATATTTCGAGATCAGGAATGCCTGTTATTGTTGGACGAATGATCAATTAAAGCCTCGAGGGAGAATTAGGTATTTGTTATAGTTTATTTGTTGTTCAACGCTGAATCAAGTAATATTGCAGATGTGTAACGGTGGCTGGGAACTATATATTCTAGCCCGGAATCTCTGCGGTAGGTAGGTAGGTGAGTGAGTGAGTATAGTTTTTACGCCGCTTTTAGCAATATTCCAGCAATATCACGTCGGGGGACACCAGAAATGGGCTTCACACATTGTGCCCATGTCGGGATTCGAACCCGGGTCTTCGCCGTGACGAGCGAACGCTTTATCCACTAGGCTACCCTACCGCCCGAGGAATGAATTACGTGATACATGCATATTGGTTATTTGCATGTGTCGTAAAAGACAATACAATAATTATGCATTATCCTTCAAAATATGAATGGATTGTAATCATAGTAAATGTTCGTATCTTGAAACTTTATTGAGTGGCATGCATTTCATGAGTTGAGTTGAGTGAGTTTATTTTTAACGTCGCAGCGACATTGTTTCCGCCATACATTGATTTGTTTTTTGTTTTTGTTATAGCAATATTCCCGCTATGTGGCGGCGGTCTGTAAATAATCGAGTCTGGACCAGACAGTCCAATGATAGACATCATGACTATCGATCCACACAATTGGGATACGATGACATGCATCAACCAAGTCAGCGAGTCTGACCACCCGATCCCGTTAGTCACCTCTTACGACAAGCATAGTTGGCTTTTACGGCAAGCATGGGTTGCTGAAGACCAATTCTACCCCGGATCCTGCCATACATTGAGCATGTGTAAGATCATAACACACAGTACATTATCTATACAGCGAAACACCATTCATCAAAAGCTAATAGGTTTAATGTACTGACACAAGGAGTTATATGCTTCAAAAATACACACACACCTCAGAGTGACCAGCCGAGTTGCCCAAATGTGACAGTACTGAGACGAGAGGTGATATCGATTGACACTGTTCTGCTCGGGTGATTGTAGTGAGTGAGCTGGGTTTATCACCGCTTTTAACAGTATTCCAGCTATATCACGGCGTGTCAGCTTAATGTGGGAGGAAAGACCGAAGTGAGTGAGTGATCTGGGTTTAACACCGCTTTTAACACTATTCCAGCTATATCACGGCGTATCAGCTTAATTTGGGAGGGAAGCCCGAAGTGATGCAGGTCTCAGACGTTTACCACTTCGGTGAAACCCACGAGCACGGGTATGATGCTGACAAACCTGGAAACATAATCGGAGCGAACTGGGATTCGAACCCACAATCATAGGTTTCTGGCGTGGCCAAGGGACGCAACTCTGCACAGCGAATCTCGGCGCCCTAGACGGCTGGGCCACCCGTGCCCCCGATAAAACTACAGCTTAAAGTTACACACGATATTGAATATGGGTATGGTGCTGACAAACCTAGAAACATAATCGGGGCGAACCGGGATTCGATGTGTTTGTATGTTTGTCTACGGTTGGGTGAGGCTAGGTGAGGTGCACGTGTGTGTGCGTTGGGGAGGTGTGTGTGCGTTGGGGAGGGGTGTGTGCTGTGCAAGTACTTATGTCGACTTTATAGTTTCAGCCCACTGATCAGATACCATGCCGCAGTTTCACATAAAATACCCCTCAGACAGTATACTGACTCCGAACCTACCAGTCCTTGTTTAAGCCTCTTAATCCCGAGAGCCAAGCAGGGTAACAACAAGTACCATCTTTTAACTTTTTTAATATGACGCGGCCGGGGATCGAACCCCGGACCTTCCACTCTCCGGATAGGTGCTCTACCACCAGACCACGGAAGCGGGTTCTACGGTTGACACTACCTAACATCGGTTTGTGTAGATCCATATATCAGGCCGACCCCAAAGAGACGGGTTCTGGCATATGCATATGCACCGCGGCCTCTAAAACTCAGATAATCGGTGTGTTCCGAGAGAGCAGATTGACATACCTTAAACACTCACTCACTGTAGTTATATGAGATCATAAACATCGACACGTCACCATGATCTGTGAGCCGGAAATAAACTCCCGCACTTTAACATTCGACGGATCCAAGTTTCGCTTATGCAGAGAGTACGTGGATCATGATTGTTTAAATATGTCGTCAGTTTTACGCTTAGCATTTGATGTTCAGGGAATTCGGTCAATCACGACGCTATCTTAAATACTGTAATGGAACAGAAAAAAACATGTTGTGCGTGAGATATTAGACGACGGTTATGAATTTGCGTGATTATTGTCCAACATATTTCGAGATCAGGGGGGCGGTAGGGTAGCCTAGTGGTTAAAGCTTTCGCACGTCACGCCGAAGACCCGGGTTCGATTCCCGACATGGGTACAATGTGTGGAGCCCATTTCTGGCGTCCCCCGCCGATATATTGCTGGAATATTGCTCAAAGCGGCGTAAAACCATACTCAGTACTCAGTCGAGATCAGGAATGCCTGTTATTGTTGTATGAATGAACAATTAAGGCCTCACGGGAGAATTAGGTATTTGTTATTGTTTATTTGTTGTTCAACGTAATATTGCAGATGTATGACGGCGGCTGGGGCCTATGTATTCTGGCCCTGAATCTCTATGGTAGGAGGTAAGAAATAGTTGAGTGAGTGTGTATAGTTTTTACGCCGCTTTTAGCAATATTCAAGCAATATCACGTCGGGGGACACCAGAAATGTACGCATGTCGGGATTCGAACCCGGGTCTTCGGCGTGACGAGCGAACGCTTTTACCACTAGGCTACCCGACCGCCCGTCAGGAATAGGTACTGGCGTGCACACACACACACACAGTACACACACACACAGTACACACACACACAGTACACACACGAAGTACACACACACACAGTACACACACACACACACTCTCTCTCTCTCTCTCTCTCTCTCTCTCACACACACACACACACAGTACACACACACACACACACACACACTCTCTCTCTCTCTCTCTCTCACTCACACGCACACACACACACAGTACACACACACACACACACACACACACACACACACACATGGGTTCTAACCCGGATCCTGCCAGACATTGACCATGTATAAGATCATAACACACATTACATTATCTATACAGCGAAACACCATTCATCAAAACAGTAAACCAAAACGCATTCTGTAAGTTAATTATTAACAACATATCGAAACCATTTTCTGAACAAGTGAGTCACTCTTTAATAATTGCTGACCGATGACATTTAAACATGTTACCAAACACGACAGAGTACGATGACCGTCCAGATGTCTGACCCCCACGCCAACACTGTCCTAATTACATTATCGTAGCGTCAGTGTTGATCTATGCGTGTTGACAGGTTCTATTTAATCAGCCTAATATCTCCAAACCCGACTTCTCTCGTTCGATTTCCTTCAGTAAATAGTTCCACGGTGTTGACGATACACTGACAGTCTATGCAAGATGACATATCGTCACGACAGACTAATTAAAATTCAATATTTAACCACAGCCATGCATCACCGTCACTGTTTATTCGATTTACCCCTAATACCAGGTTGACATTAAATGCGTCTGAATGTCTGTCGGAAGTAAACAGAATGTGGTTCTAAGGTGGTTCCGGGGTTTAATTGACACCTGGACATCACCTTTGGATTTGTACTTACAAAATGTAAATTCATGATAGTTTGTTTTGTATGTTTGAATAAAATGTTGGACAAGCATCTTATTGCGATGGACATTGTATCTTGATTGTATATAAAGACACGTTGAGTGTTTCAATCAAGGGTCAATCATCGCCTCTCGTGACCGGTAAGTAGCCTTATTTTACGCATTCAGTGATCTGAGATTGTCAATGACAAACTGCTGTAACTGTTTTGAAATATTACATTTAACTTCAAATTATGCATCCTGCTTGACGATTAAACTCGGTTTAATTGACATTATACTTATGTGACTAGACAAAGCCTTTGCGAAAGTGATCTAATGTAGCTAAGTATATTTGGGTGAGGTGGTGTGGTGAAACGGGGCTTAATGTCTCGTCCAAAATTATCGCACTTATAGAGCGACGTGCATGCACGTGTGTGTGTGTGGCTGACGCCGTGTTTGTTGTGCTAATCCATGCCGCAGATACCATGTCACAGTTTAGCATGAATACCCCACTCAGACACAGTATACGCACTCCCAGTCCTTGTTTTAGCCCTTTAATGCCGAGCGCAAGGCAGGGTAACAACACATCATTTTAAGTCTTTTTTGTATGACGCGAACGGGGATGGAACCCTTGACCTTCCGCTCTCCGGGCAGACGCTCTATCCACTAGACCACGGAGGCGGTCAGGATATGTGAGCTTACACTTCGAGTTTCACATAATACCAGAGCGGGACAGACTATTGATTATCAAGGACGGCTTGCGATTATGTTTTAAATTTGTTCCCGAAAACACTAAAAAAAACTTTGATTCGGGTTTTACTCATTGCAAATACATGCGAAGGCAAGTCAAGTCTCCACCTGACCAAACGCGGGTACACATGTTGCAAGTCGAAATAGGGAATTAATTGCATCGGACATAATTTTGATCACTGATGTGTCAGATCTAGAAAATTCTTCTCATATCAATTACTTTTTGAAACCTTACTCAAAAAAGGTATTCGTTCGTAAAAGAATGCAGATTCAGTAGGCTCGGTGACATTTGCTCATATTGTTAATTGTCATAGTTTGAAGCTGTGTTTCATATATTTTTTCCTTTAACCGTTTTTGACACATTTTTGTACCCTAATTTATTATGCTATCAATATGAATGTCAGAACCACAATTGATTTCAAGCCGACCAGGACACGCGCGTCGGGTATCTTGATCTTGTACGTGGGGTGGTGGCACTTGTAGCCCAGTCGATGCGTAATTGTTCGTTCCTTAGATTTGCTATGGCCCTGGGTTCGAATCCCATGTTCGCCTTCATTGTGATGCTTGGTCTATCATCCCCACAGCCGGGCACGTGGGTTACAGCAAAGTGGTAGGAGCCTGAAACCTACGTCACTTCCGGCTTTCCTCCCACTTTAGACTGACACGCCGACATATAACTGAAAGATGGCGTATGTACAGATACGTGTATCAGAAGTCGATACCATGTATTTTCAGACTGACTGTTTCGAACAGTAATGTCCATTTAATACTGTCATTTTAAGCATTCGTCATATTAATAAATTAGTTTTCGTGATAATTCATGAAAGTAACATGAATTAAAATGAATGAAATTTCGGTCGAAATAATTAATTTCGATGTCAGATTTTCGTCAAATGAACCTTTCACGAAACCTACAAGTCTTACAAATAAATAAAAGCGGCAGAACCCTTTCCATATTCATAAGAAATTTGTGCCGAAACCAGAGTCGATTGTACTCTTTAGCATGTGTTTACGAATCACTATAAAAAAAAGTAATGATACTAAGTATTCGCGAATAGGTGCCCCACCGTTGGCACCCATCACAAACACGTGCAAAGGCAAGTCAAGCGTTCACCTGAAACAACACGGGAACATATGGTACAAGTAACAGAAGGGATTCTCTCTTTGCAAGTTAACAACCATTCCAGATTGTTCTTTAGTCACACAGGACTTTAATTTCAAGCATGTTATCACTTTTTTCAATTGTTAGAGCTCTACAATGGCCAAGCTTCTCGTCCTCACTGTTCTCGCATGCATGGCCGCCATGGCCTGTGCCTCTGCTCTAGGGTACCGTAGTTACGGCTACAAGAGTTACGACCCAGTTGACTACAGCTACGGGTACAGGAGTTACGGCGGACCTGTTGGATACGGGTATGGGTACGGTGACTATGCCGGCAACGGAGGCTACGTCAGGTACAACGGGTACGGAAGCTACGACGGTCATGGCTACGGGTACGGTAACTACGGTGGATATGCTCGCTTTGGTGGATTTGGACGAGGCTATTACGGTAGACGTAAGTTGACTGTCATTGTTTAATTATCTTCTTTGCTATATCATTTAATTCATGAAATACATCCTGCGTACAAATGTGATGAGTGACTCTGTTATATTTTACAAAAAAAGAGGATTTGCATAATATATTTTTCTGTAGCACTTGGTGCACGGCTGGCCCAGTCGCCTAAGGCGCTGCAATTGTCAGAAACCTGTGCTTGTGGGTTCGAAACCCGGTTCGCCCCGATTATGTTTATGGTCCATACCAAAGCTTGTGGGTTTCACCGAAGTGGTAAACGTCCGAGGTCTGTGTGACTTCGGGTTTCCCTCCCACATTAAGCTGACACGCCGTATAACTTGAATACTGTTAAAATCGGCGTCAAGACTCACTCACTTCAGTAGCACTTATGAACACTATTACATAGTAACAAGGGGCGGTCGAGTAGCCTAGTGGTTAAAGCGTTCGCTCGTCACGCCGAAGACCCGGGTTTGATTCCCGACATGGGTACAATGTGTGAAGCCCATATCTGGTGTCCCTCGCCGTGATGTTGCTGGAATATTGCTAAAAGTGGCATAAAACCATACTCACTCACTCACTCACATAAAACAACGTTCTAAGTTCATAAATGCATGCATTGCATTATATTCTTCTGACTATCTCTTTCATTCACCCTGAATTAAAATAAAAAATAAAAATTACACTTTCACATCCGACTTTGGAGGAGCCAAGGTTTTGCTAAAACCAATAATTATACACCGGTTATAAAGTGTATAACAATAGGGCATGATATCAAATGAATAATTCATACTTTTTATGGAAGGTTAATGTAAACATATATAGTTATTTAAGCTACATATAGATTTATTTGCGAAAGATCGAATCAAAACAGCCATAATTTTGCGTTATGTATTTGACTTAACAGGTTTATGCATCTTAATTTTCAGACTGAGCAGACGGATCCTCGTGTCTTGACACAAACCTTACAACACAATAAAGGAGTAAAAACATACACCCTGTTTGTGTTTATTGCCTGTTACCGTAAGCTGCCGGGAAATAGAACGTATACACTTGAAAATTATATTTGAACAAAAACTTACAACCGTTATGAAAAGTTCTGAAAAATGTCGCCCAAACACTGCAAACTTAACGTCCAAAATACTGAACTATGATACCCGTACCAGCTTCAAACATAGGCGTATTCTTTTTTTCTCCTATCTTTTGATAGTGGTAAGTATGGAATACTGTAAGGGACATTCTCGCGATCTCGCATTCTCGCGATCTCGACCTTTGGAAACGAGCTAAATATGCCCAAAACACGAGAATGCGAGATCGGCTAAAATCTCGCGTTCTCGCGATCTCGCATTCTCGTGTTTTTGGTACATAGCACTTTTTGTCAAAAGTCGACAACGCGAGAATGCGACATTTGGACATGATGCAAAATCTCGCAATCTCGCAATCTCGACTTGTCAAATTAGGCCACAAAAACACGAAATCACGAGAACGCGAGAATGCGACATTTCATTTTCTCGCGATCTCGCGTTCTCGTGTTCTCGCGTTTTAGACGCTGTCCGTGCGCATGCGTAATATCATAAGGTCAAGCGCATGCGCACGTTAGTAGTCCTATGGTCATGCTTCTTTCATGCTCTTCATTCTCCAAGTAGCATTTAGCAAAATTATGACTTGAGCTTGGAAATGCTATGTAATTTACATACATAAAGTCTGAGTCATCTCCCGTTGTTACAGTTTCCTATGTACTTTATAATAAAACCCTCAACGTGCTCAATATAATTTACAAAATAAATTGCGTGCATGAATGTCCAATGGTAGTGAAAACATTAATGTGTCCGAAAGCTGGAAACAAAACTATCACCGTCAGTGAGTGAGTGAGAAATATTGCTTAAAGCCGCATCAGCAGTATTGCAGCTATTCGCGGCTACACAGTCAGTTACAGAAATAATCACAGGCCAGTGAGTTTCTCCATGAGGCAATTTCACACACGGCTAGCATATTCAGGAAAGGGAAAATTCTCATAGACCAATTTGAAATACAAAATTAACTATCATATTTTCATCCGCTCCAACCTGACTACAAAACATCCCGCTTTACATTATTTTATAGTTAAAATGGATATCATTCGCATTAAACCGCCCGCATGTCATCATAAATGATCGGTGTCGTCGAATGGTGTTAAGATATATTGAAGGTCCAAACGGAATAAACTGTGATTGCTTCTGACACCACCGACTGCTGTTTTACGGAATGTGAAGTAAGTAACTGTAAATAATTGAGTCTGGACCAGACAATCCAGCGATAGGCATCTTAAGAGGATCTACGCAATTGGAATACGATGACATACATCAACCAAGTCAGCGAGCTTGACCATCCGATCCCTTTAGTCGCCTCTTACGACAAGCATGGGTTGCTGAAGGCCTATTCTAGTGCTATAGTGAAACCCACGAGCACGGATATGATGCTGATAAACCAAGAAACATATTCACGGCTACTCGAGGATTGGAACCCACGATCATACATGTAGGTTTCTTGAACGCAGTCCTCCTCAGCGGATTGCAGTGTGGGTGAGTTTGGTTTAACGCCGCTTTTAACAGTATTCCAGTTATATCACGGCGTGTCAGCTTGATGTGGGAGGAAGAGCCCGAATTGATGCAGGTCTCAGACGTTAACCACTCCGGTGAAACCCACGAGCACGAGTATGGTGCTGACAAACCTAGAAACATAATTGGGGCGAACCGGGATTCGAACCCACAATCATAGGTTTCTGGTGTGCCCAAGGGACGCAACTCTGCACAGCGAATCGCGGCGCCTTAGACGACTGGGCCACCCGTGCCCCCTGCGGGATTGCAGGGTTTTGTACCATGCCGACCAGGCCAACCGCGCACCGTAATGTTTACCAGAAAAACTAGTGGTTGATGATGTGAACACTCGCAATAGGTATGTGCTGTTCATAATTTACAAACTTCAATGCTTCCACCTAATACCATTATCGACCCTCACAACAAATGTGAGGTATCTGAGATCAACACACAAATATCGAAACCTGTATCGCCATCTATGTACACATTCGCAGTCAAAATGTTCCAGCTTTATCACCATGGCCTGTAAAAAAACTGAGTCAGGATCAGATATGTCAGTGATTAATTTTAGGGGCAACGTCGGTAGTAACGCACGTATACTCTGAATTTTGCCATGTACTCCAGAAAGTAGCCCCTACGAACATACTTATGTGAACAACCACTCTTTGGTCAAACTACTGATTGATTGATTGATTGATTGCATATATGAATGAATGAATGAATGAATGAATGAATGAATGAATGAATGAATGATTGCTTGCTTGCTTGCTTGCTTGATTGACTCATTTGTACACACTGATCTGATTGAATAAACAAATATCTTCATAATAAAAGCCAAACAAAACCCCGTATGCATCGAGCAATACTAGTTCGATACAACAAACATTCAGCTGTACACATTGAGACGTTGTAAATCCGTCTAATTCTCAGTTCCCTGGTAGAAAGAACCTTATCGTTGGGAAAAGTAGGGTTTGCGTGCAAAAAGGATTTCATTATATGTCTATTTATGATTCTTGTTATTTTATGAAGCGGATCTTAATAACTTATGGAATTCCCGAGAACAAACATCCGCCATTGAACCCGACAGGAATCTCTCAGTAGGATATGGCCAAGATTGTCCTGATTGGCTCATCCCACATTCCACATCGACCATCCGTCATCTAATAATAAGGACATGTCACAACTCAAACTGCATATGTCACAGTGATAAAAGACGCCGACATGGCGAGTGAGTAAGTTGTGTTTAACGCCGCTTTTAACAGTTTTCTAGTTTTATTACGGCGTGTCAGCTTAATGTGTGTGTGATGTCCATTTCTTGAGTCCCACCGTGATATTGCTGGAATATTGCTAAAAGCGGCGTAAAACCATACTCACTCACTCACTCAGCATAATTTGAGAGGAAAGTCCGAAGTCATGCGGGGCATTTATGAGTGAGTGAGTGAGTTTGGTTTAACGCCGCTTTTAACAGTGATCCATTTACATCGCGGCGTGTCAGCTTAATGTGGGAGGAAAGCCCGAAGTGATGCAGGTCTCAGACGTTTACCACTTCGGTGAAACCCACGAGCACGAGTATGGTGCTGACAACCTAGCAACATAATTGGGGCGAACCGGGATTCGAACCCACAATCATAGGTTTCTGGCGTGGCCAAGGGACGCAACTCTGCACAGCGAATCGCGGCGCCTGGGCCACCCGTGCCCCCCGGGCATTTATGAACTTAAGGACATTGTTTTATGTAAAAGTATTCATAAGTGCTACAGAAGTGAGTAACAGGTATATGACGCCGCTTTTAACAGTATTCCACTTACATCACGACTTGTAAGCTAAAATGTGGGAGGAAAGACCGAAAACATGCAGGACTCAGATGATTATCACGATGGTGAAACCCACGAGCCCGGGTATGGACCTGACAAACCTAGAAACATAATCGGGGCGAACCGGGATTCGAACCCACAATCATAGGTTTCTGGTGTGCCTAAGGGACGCAACTCTGCACAGCGAATTACAGCGAATAAGACGACTGGGGCACCCGTGCCCCCTAAGACATAGTGACAGCATATATGTCTGATTGATGTCTGGCTTAATTCTTTCCGCAGATATGTCACTGTCACACCTGATAGATCCGCTGTCGAAAACACACGGACAGTTTATTTGTTGACTAAATGAGAGGTTGTTTACAAGCAGTATTTCAGGTATATGTGGGAGTAAAGCCAGAAGGGTTGCAAGTCTTAGATTTTTATCACTTTGGTGATATGTAGGCAAATATAATCAGGGTGAACCGGGATTCGAACCCAGGACCTTATTTTTTGACATGCCTAAGGGACTTTGAACGCTGAGCAGCGAATTGCAGTGCTTTTGATAACTGGACCACTTAAGCCTTGAAATGATGTATATCCTATAGATTAGTGAGTGAGTACGGTTTTACGCCGCTTTTCAGCAATAATCCAGCAATATCACGACGGGGGACACCAGAAATGGGCTTCACACATTGTACCCATGTCGGCAATCGAACCCGGGTCTTCGGCGTGACGAGCGAACGCTTTAACCACTAGGCTACCCGACCGCCCCCCAAAAGATTAAGCAAAAACTTACTCTGCTGATTGCACAGATGAGTGCACTTGCTGAATTTCAAAACATGAATGCACAGATGAGTTTACTTGCAGAATTCCAAGAACGCCAATACACAGATGAGTGAGATCTTATATCTGAATCGTTGGATCATTTTCCGCCTTTTTCTTTAAGATCAATTAAAATAAAATAAATAGATTTGTGAATTCGACCTATTAATGATAAAAAGTAACATGAATATTCATGTACATATATCACGTCAACGCCGGAGAATAACTAGTCTCGATTATCTAACGAAACCGATTCCGTTGAACGTAAAAGGCTAAATAGAAGTGACAATTATATTTATAGGTCACTGAAAATCAGTGATGACACCAGGTTTTCGCGAAAAAGATAAGCATGTCCTGCCCTACCGTTGTATTGAGTTGTGTTGTGTTTGAACGCCTCTGAACATAATATAAGGCATAGAAACAATTTCAGGCGGTTATCAATAAATACATGCGGCAAAACCCTTTTCGTGTCAATAAGAAGTCTCTTCCAGAAGAGTCCAGTGTACGATTTGACTCTATAATATTTATGACTTGCTATCCCATAGTGATTATACTCGGTGATCGTCAAGAGGTGTATCCTGTCTCACTGGTGGCACACGTCACAAACACATGCAGAGGTAAGACAATTGTTTACCTTAAACACACACGGGAACATCTTATACAAGTGAACATAGGGAGTTGCATCACACACATGTGTGTCACTTGTGTTTGAACACGCTCAATGAGAACACATATGGATAACAAAAGCAAATGAGAAAACACACCGTGGATTTAATAATGCACTCGGTCCTTAAACAGCGTAAAGACAGCGCTAAATCATGGCGGGTGCACGCGGATACACTCCTGTCTGTGTGTTCATTGGAACGGCGGCGGCGGTTGCTGGGAGTACACCTGACCGTCTGGAAGCTGAAATGACCAAGGTTGGAATGATGATGATGATGATGATGATGATGATCATCATCATCATCATCATCATCATCATCATCATCATCATCATAATAATAATAATAATATAAAACTCAGTTTTTCAAGGAGAGGCTAACTGAAAGACCACTGCATCGAGCTATGTGCAGTGTGTTGAAAGGATCAGCAATCCTGCAGAGTCCTTCGCTTGGATGAAGTCGTCTGGCCTGAAAAGTGAAACTGTTTGGACCCGGGTTTGCTACCAGGAATACAGCCCTTCTGACAATCTGGGTAATGCAGAAGGCTGGGGTGTTGGGGAGTACACATTCTCCCAAAAGATCAGAGTGGATTTGACTAGGCAGCGCTTCCTGGGGGAATTCCCTTGCGCTATCTGGGCAGCGTGTAGAGCGGGCAAGGACCCTGACCTGATCACCCAAACTCTCTTTGCTGCATTGTTGTATTGTTATTTGTAAAAAATAATCTCGAGGGTTTACAGTCACATTACCATCTCACCTTACAGGGTATATGTAAGAACAGTCACTTGCCTAAGGCGAACCCACATGTGACACATACCAATGCTTGCCGTAAAAGGCGACTATGCTTGCCGTAAAAGGCGACTAACGGGATCGGGTGGTCAGGCTAGCTGACTTGGTTGATGCACGTCGTCGATTCCAATTGCGTGGGTCGATGCTCATGATATCAATCGCAAACAAACAAACAAACAAACAAACACACAAACACACAAACAATCAAACAAACAAACTAGCGATGAGGTTGATCGTACCCCGGCGGCCTTGGTCGTTGTGAAGATAATACATTACTTGATTTTCTGGCACAGACTCGATTATTTACAGGGCTCTCTCATATTGCTGGAATATTGCTGTATGTGGCGTTAAACAACAAACAAAACAATGATCTGTACCGCTTACTCTTTCGTTTCCAAAAGTATTGTTCGCACGAAGCTTTTCATATTAATATATATAAACGCGACCAGATTTATTTATTATTATATTGGCTTTGGCATTGAACACAAAAGAAAACATGGCCGTCTTCACCGGACATGTTAAGAAGAAATACCAAAATTTCTTTGTATCCATTATTCGATGGCCGTAGCATTTATTTTGAACTGACGGCGAAGGTTTCAAATGTTTACATTTCGCGCATCAAATATTCAATAACACCCGTAAATATAAAACCAGAGTATATGATATATTTTATATCGGACTTCTTACATTGTATCCGTGTGATTCGAATCTGGGGCTGATACACAATGGGTCAGCATATTAACCTGTAATCCACGGTATGTTAATTGTCAGGACCGCCTCTTGTGGATAGAGCGCCTGCCCGAGGAGCGGAAGGTCGGTGGTTCGATTCCCCGGCCGCGTCATACCAAAAAATATTAAAAGATGGTGCTTGTTGTTATCCTGCCTGGCGCTCGGCATAAAGGAAGTGAAACAAGGGCTGGTCGCATCGGAGTTGTGAGTGGGGATTCCATATTAAAATATAGTATCTCAGAAGGCTTGCTCCATTGGACCGGCATAATTCTGCACGCACGCACGCACCCACGCACCCACGCACGCACCCACGCACGCACGCACGCACACGTTGCTAAATAAGTGCCATCTTGATCAGGAAGTAGCGTCACACCTTACCTCACCTCTACATTTCAATACAAAAATGTACAATGTGTTATTGGCTATTCATATGATTGTATCAGATATATACACTCTACCTTGTGTGTCAAACAAGTCAAACTGTGCTCCATGCAAGTAGCTGTTGCCAGGACCCGCGTAGTAAGGGTCGTACTGAGGCAACAGTGTGGGTCCGATAGGTCGTCCTAAACCTGACCTTCGACGGTCGTACAACTCATCCCTGTAGTATCCACCCTGGAGTGGCTGAGGGAAACCGCCTTGGAAACCAGCGTCAGGGTAGGCCCCAGGGTACTTCCAACGGTAGGCCCAAGGGTACGCGTCTCGTCTGGGGCTATATCGACTGGGATGTATACGGTTGGGGAACAGCGTTGTTGCGTTGACTACGGGACCTGCCACAAGGGCTACGAGGAGAAAGATGACAGCTCCGTTCATTGTGAGTTTTCTAGAAAAAGGAAATGCATTTTCTATGTCATGAGGTGTTTACATGTATAGCCCGATTTGTTTGTTTGTTTGTTGTTTAAGGCCAAAATCGGCCATATTCCAGCAATATGACGTCGGTCTGTCAATATTCGAATCTGGACGAGACAATCCAGTGATTGACATCATGAGCATCGATTTACGCAATTGGGATACGATGACATGCATCAAACAAGTCAGCGAGTCTGACCTTCTTACGACAAGCACAGTAGCCTTTTACGACAAGCAAGGGTTGCTGAAGACCATTTCTACCCCGGATCCTCACGGGACATGATCAACCAGAGGACACTGTGATCATGACCATACGTACCGCCTCCGTGGTCTAATGGTAGAGCGTCCGCCCGGAGAGCGGAAGGTCCGGGGTTCGATCCCCAGCCGCGTCATACCAAAAGACGTTAAAAGATGGTACTTGTTGTTACCCTGTCTGGCGCTCGGCATTAAGGGGCTGAAACAAGGATTGGTCGGCTCGGAGTCAGTATACTGTGTCTGAGTGGGGTATTCATGTTAAACTGCGGCATGTTATCTCAGTGTGTTAGCACTATAAATCGGCATCAGTCAGGAGTAGTAAAGGCAGCCACACACACAAACACACATACACGTGCATGCACGTCGCTATATAACTCTTTTTAAACAAGATACATTTCAAATGCAGCTTAGCAAATGTTATTAGAGATTTGAAAAGAAATATTTGTTAAAAAAAAATGATAAAAATAAGTTTGTCTCAGATTTAACAACACGAAATATACCGTTAGCGCTGCATGTCATTCGTCGGTCAGAGCACCTGGTTCTTGCTTACAAAGAGTGAGTGAGTGAGTTGGGTTTAACGCCGCTTTTAACAGTATTCCAATTGTATCACGGCGTGTCTGCTTAATTGGGGGGAAAGTCCGAAGTGATGCAGGTCTCAGACGTTTACCACTTCAGTGAAACCCACGAGCACGGCAAACCTAGAAACATAATCGGGGTGAACCGTGATTCGAACCCACAATCATAGGTTTCTGGCCTGCCCAAAGGGACACAGCGAATCGCGGTACTTACCAATAAATAAATTGAATGTCTGGAAACAGTGAGAGTCAAAACTCACTTCTGATATGAATGTCATGGGAATAAAAATACCGATAAATGCATTCTCTTTGATTCCAAAGATGATAAAACCAGAATGTGTGTTTATACCCCTTGTATACGTTGATAATCGACTTCATGATTCCCACAAAGGAATTCCCATTTCCCACACTAGTGTATATATAACTACTAGTTAGGACAGTTATGTTCGATGCAATTCCCTATTTTGACTTGTACCGTGTGTTCCTGTGTTTTTTAGGTAAACAGTTGACTTGCCTTGGCACGTGTTTGTGACGGGTGCGACTGGCGGGGCAAGATGAGCACACAGTATTCGCGAACACCTGGTGTCATCACTATTTGATAGTGATTCATAAACACATGCTCATGATACAGTCGGAATCGTTCAATTGATTCTGCTTTAAGCTGAGATTTCTTATGAATAGGGAAAGGATTTTGACGCTTTTATTTACATGTATGGATGAAAAAAACCCATTCCAGTTAGAATAGTGTCGCATCCTGGTATTAAGGAACACTTGTTAAGATCAATGAATAACTTACCTTTAATAACAGTGTTTCTCATTCTTTGGTACTGTACGTGAGCTCTTGATAAAGGTAAATCATTTTCTGAAATTTCTTGACAATGTTAAACCTGTCGATTAATTGAGATTTTAATTTAATCTTTCTTGACTAGTACAAACCCCAAAACAAACAAGTATCAGATTAATTAACCTATGAAAAACAAGCAATACATAATGTCTTTAAAACACTTACCAAAAGAGATGCTTCTGAGATCTCAATGAAGCAAGCCGTCAGTATCTATTCTATTTCCAACTACCTACTCGGCTTATATATATCACCTAGAAGAGTCATATGCGGTCGTGTTTGTCGTAAGTATTGTCAGGTGAATCATCATTAATATTTCAACCTGCCAATCAAAACGACACGTTTTCTGCAACAGTATTTTATTACTCGCGTGATCTATCGTTTATTAAGATGTCGTGAATCTCTAATAATTTCTTGCTAAGAAATAACACGAAATGACATTAAACCGATCTTAGCTTACATGTTAATGTATGTAGATGTTGTCTGTATTTATTCTCACTGTAGCAGGTGCCTAGGGAGACGTGGGGTTTTACGATTCATTGAACAGTACTTCACTTACCGTATTCGACGTAATAAGGGCTTTTCTCTAATAAGCGCCAACGGTGATATTGTTAATATATTGGCAAGTGAACGATCCCAATTAGCACCCGTTCCGATTGATCAATGTACACAAGATTTATTTATTCGTGTATGATACGCCCTCATGTGTTATATGCACCCTTAAATATGGTCAATTACATTCAGGAAAATATATCTGTCATGTATAATAAGCACAGACTTTTCTTTTGTTTCATTTCAGGCTGTCAGCATAAACCACGAAATTTACGATCTTTCAACTCTGTTTTTTCTCACTAAAATTATATTCTAATAAGAGGTCCCTATTTCTAATTTTGAGAGCGCCCTGGGCGCTTATTACGTCGATACGGTACCTATGGTCGAGGTGGTCGTAGGTCGCAGTAGCAAGTTCAGTAGCGGTTCACGAAGTCGTAGCAATATTCCAGCAATATGACGACGGTCTGTAAATACGGAAGTTTTGATCAGATAATAAGTAGTATTAGTATTAGGGGTAGGGGCAGTGTTAGTAGAAGACGTAGTAGTAGTAGTAGTAGTAGTAGTAGTAGTTGTTGTTGTGGTTGTGTTGTAGTTGAAAATATTCTAGTGGTAGTAGTTTTGTTTGTTTGTTTGTTGTTTTACGCCGCACTCAACAATATTCCAGCTATATGACGGCGGTCTGTAAATAATCGAGTCTGGACCAGACAATCCAGTGATTAAAACCATGAGCATCGATCTACGCATTTTGGATACGATGACGTGCAAAGTCAGCGAGCCTGACCACCCGGTCCCGTTAGTCGCCTCTTATTACGACAAGCATAGTTGCCTTTTACGACATGCATGGGTTCCCGGGGACCTATTCTAACCCGGATCTTCACGGTGTTCGTAGAGGTCGTAGTGGTATTATTAGTAGTAGTAGTAATAATAGTAGTTGTGGTAGAAGCTGAAACAATTCTAGTAGTAGTAGTTCTGTTTGTTTGTTCGTTGTTTTACGCCGCACTCAGCAATATTTCAGCTATATGACAGCGGTCTGTAAATAATCGATTCTGGACCAGACAATCCGGTGATTAACATCATGAGCATCGATCTACGTATTTGGGATACGATGACGTGCATCAACAAAGTCAGCGAGCCTGACCACCCGTTCCGGGTAGTCGCCGCTTTCCACAAGCATGGGTTGCTGAAGAACAATTCTCATCCAGCTGCTCCACACGATGGAGCTAACTCGAATAGTCCGGGTGGAGTAGGCCATGAATAGGAAATGTTGTGAAATCTTTTGTTCAGTTAAGTTTACTCAAACTGAAGAATGAAATGCATAGTTTTATAAAATGCCTGTCATGGATTTCTTTGGCTTAGCTCGCCCTGCCTTGTGAGGTGAGGTGAAATGGGGTTTAACGTCGCGTCCAAGATTATTGCACTTATATAGCGACGTGCATGCACGTGTATGTGTGTGTGTGTGTGTTGCTGCTTGTGCTAGTCCGGACTGATGCCGATTTATAGTGCTAGCACACTGAGATACCATGCCACAGTTTAACATGAATACCCCACTCAGACACAGTATACTGACTCCGAGCCGACCAGTCCTTGTTTTTAGCCCCTTAATGCCGAGCGCCAGACAGGGTAACAACAAGTAACATATTTTAACGTCTTTTGGTATGACGCGGCTGGGGATCGAACCCCGGACCTTCCCCTCTCCGGGCGGACGCTCTATCATTAGACCACGGAGGCGGTCCCCTACCTTGTGACCACAGTGGGCTCGGTGTAGTAACTCAAAATGTGATATGGTCAATTATGACGTGTCAAGCAGATGACGTCATATGAAACACCATGACGTCATAATGTCCGTACAGACAGGCGATCGACTTCTATGGGATTTAGATGAATTGTCTGACGCGTAATGATAAATTTGACTGTCAACATCGACCCTTTATTTCTTCTCCATCATATTCACGCAGCCATCTGTGCCTGTAGCCATGAGGGGACACGGGTGGCCCAGTCGTCTAAGGCGCCGCGATTCGCTGTGCAGAATTGCGTCTCTTGGGCACACCAGAAACCTGTGATTGTGGGTTCGAATCCCGGTTCGCCCCAATTATGTTTCTAGGTTTGTCAGCACCATACCCATGTTCATGGGTTTCACCGAAGTGGTAAACGTCTGAGACCTGCATCACTTCGGGCTTTCCTCCCACATTAAGCTGACACACCGCGATATAAGTGGAATACTGTTAAAAGCGGCGTTAAACCCAACTCACTCACTGTAGCCATGAATTCGTGTATTGGCTTGTGGGATTAACCATAAGAGTTAATCAAGTGCTGGTCCAAGGTGCCCAGTCAAGCATGGCTATGTTTGTCCGGTGCAACGCCGGTAGGTCTCCAGAGCTCGTGATGAAGTACTTTGCACGATGTGACTGCCACAATATGATCCGTTGTTAATGATGTGACGCCCACATATCAAGTAAGAACAATAAATGTTCACACCTTTGAATGGCATATAGAGGCGATACACACAAGGAGGGAGAATTTATGGATATCAACTACGTTATTATGAGAAAACACAACGTTTCGAAGTATATACTTACTCCTTCATCAGGTGAATAGATGCTAGGAGTTTTGCGTTTAACGACCGCTCAACCCTCTGGCTATGTCGCAGTCGGTGCCAGTCGGGTTTTCAATAATAACAAATAGTGGGGAATAGTCGTAAACGTCTGGCCCAAAAAACTGTAAGAGAAGGGGAGTAAGTTAGGAAATAAGAACAGGAGGGTTGAGGGTGACAACAGGTTGTACGTAGAGAGCTGATAAAAGTCCTAATCTGAAACATAAAATATATTGTTAATATAAAGCATAAGATAATAATAAGATCAGTTTAGCTGATATTTATGTGTATTATAAGTAAACTGGTTAAAGAAAATGGCGATAACTGAGTAAACCTGTGCTAAAAAACGTTGGGCCTAGTGCGGGGAGTCGTGGCATGGGTGGGGGTGGCGGAGAGTGTCCTTGACATTGGCTAGGTGGCTGTTTTAGAGAGTGTTACCATTAGTGTGTATGGATATGGGAGAATTTTGCGTGCGGACGTCGTAGAAGGCAACTTGCGCATGGAATTTCGATCCCGATCCGAATCGTAAAGTTGGGAGTTATTGGGAGAGAATTGAGGCTGGAATTATTTTTGAGATTTTTCTTGATTCGTGTTTGAAGGTTGGTGTTTTGGAATTGTAGAGTTGTTGTTGTTGTTGTTGGTTGTACTGGGGGCAGTGATTCAATATGTGATTATGGTCTTCTATGGTATTGCAGTGTGTACAGTTTGGGTGTGGGTGTCTGTTTTGTTTATATAGTTTTTCATTTAGGTTAACTTGGCCGCAATGTATTCTATTTATTACTTTTTTGAGAGGACCGAATTGGTAAAATTGCAGCATTTTAGTATGGGTTTGTTAAAAGGGGATTTCCATGTGGATTTACAATTTTGAATGTTAATAAATTTTATTATAATTAATGATTTTATTTCGGTTTTACTTGTATTGAGATTTATGATGGGTTGTAGGTGTGTTGTTGCTAACTTGGCTGCATGGTCAGGAATGGAATGTATGTTTATAACATTGTTTATGATATCTGGTCGTGTTTTGGAGTATTTATTTGTTTAATTGAGCCTAAAGAGTCCGAAATGATAATGACATTTTTATAATTAGATACTTTTATTTGGTGGTATTCACAAAGAATGGCTCGTAGTTCTGCTGTACTGATACAGTAAACTACGGTTATAACGAACTCAAAGGGATCACTAATTTCAGTTCGTTATAACCGTAGTTCGTTATAGGAATATATGCAGCATATATACAACAAATGGCCGGGACTAAAAAGTAAGTTCGTTATATCGGTCAGTTCGTTATAAGCGTGTTCGTTATAACCGTAGTTTACTGTATTTGTATAGCTAGTGTAGTGGAAGTTGGTTGTGATTGTATCTGGTTGTACTACTGGTACTACTGGTTGTCATGTAAATATGTGTTAGGTAATGGGGTGTGATTGATATGTTCTAGTCTGTGGGGTTTAATGAGTTTGTGCAGGTGGGTGAGGAGGGGTGCCATAAGGTGGCTGTTTTTTAAATTTTTAAAGTGTTGAAGGTCGAGCATTTTGGTATTTCTGAGTGTGTTTCTTTGCAGATTGGGTTGTGTTGTGCGCCAGCCCAATTTTTGAGTATTGTTTGGTTGCGTCTAAGTTGAAATGATGTTGTGCCTGTTAGTATTTGTAATGTGTTAAGTGAAGTACCGGTTCTAGTCCCAAGGGCTATTGTTAGTGCTTTATATTGAATTGAATTGATTTTTTCTCTCAAGTTTATCATTATATAGTGGAGAACCGGAGCGGCGTAGTCTATTTTGGATAGTATTTGTGTCTTATATATTTACTCTTAAAAAAAACACACAGGTAGCATGTTGTTCATTGAAGCTGATCTTAGGCACAGTTCGTTATCCCATTTGGTGAATAAGGTGAGTTTGGTTTATAAATATGTTGAAGGGGGCTGTAAGGCTGTGAGACGACCGCTCATGACGGAAGCTGAGAAAACAATGACTGACTGACTAACGTTTCTCACTTGAATGCCATGAGACAGAGAGCATCTATATGTACATGTAAGGACAACAAAAGTAGTAAGGTAACAACAGGTGGAAACTAACAAGGCCAACAGATATCACAACAGATGGCTGATTAGCAAAAGACAATGGAAGCCAACACTTTACTGTAATTAGCGCTGATGGTTATGGACAACTGGAAGCCAGCCCTTAAATTATCATTGATTGTTGATGGGCAATGTTATCTGATTACTTTTGTTGTTCTTTCATATATATATGAATGCTATGATGCAGAGTGTATATATATATATATATATATATATATATATATATATATATATATAGAGAGAGAGAGAGAGAGAGAGAGAGAGAGAGAGAGAGAGAGAGAGAGAGAGAGAGAGATATCTTCTCTATAATTGTGCCTATTGACCAATATTTGCAGTTTTATTTGTTGAAACAACGGTTCAGAATGTCCAGTGAATTCCTGGCTCAGAATCAACTGCAACGACAATAGCCAATACTCTCTGCCTCAAAGCATTCATTCACCTGATGAAGCAGTAAGCATATACTCCGAAACGTTGGGTTTCCTCATAATAAAGAAGTTGACATCCAGACATTCTCTCCCTGAATAAAGGTACAAGTATTATCAATGCTATTTGACAGCGATTCATAAATACACAAATAAGCTGTAGTCGAAATCGTACAAAGATTTGTATGATTTTTGTCACTGTAACTAACTACAGTGTTCTCTCGTTTGTTGAATCCTGTCCATTTATACGTTTGTCCATTTAGTCACATAATATAAATAATGATTACTCAAGGAATATCCTTTGACCACTCATGTCCACATATCTGATGTCCAGTTATGTGTTACACTACATATATGCTTAAGGAAAAAAATAAAAATAACTGTGCTTCATATAAAGATCAATAAAATGGACGTAAAGGCGTAAACGAAGGCCACATTATGCACCTACATTATAATTCAACTTTTCGTAATAACATTTAACTTATCAAATATGCATTTAATAACTTTGTTCAGGTTACATAATACCTTAGAGTTAAACAGTCTATGGAACTTATAGAAGTTGAGACGACTCTGGAAATAACTTGGTAACCATACAATTCTTTCAGGTGATAAAAAATTAAATATTATGCAATAATAGCAACATACGTTTCTCGACAAAGTTACTTCAAATTGACTCGACCCGTGAAGATTCGGTGTAGAGTAGGTCTTCAGCAACCAATACTTGACGTAAAAGGCGACTATGCTTGTCGGAGGCGACTAACGGGATCGGGTGGTCAGGCTCGCTGACTTGGTTAATACATTTGTAGATGTCATCATATCCCAATTGCGTGGGTCGATGCTGATGATGTCAATCACTGGATTGTCTGGTCCAAACTCGATTATTTACAGACTGCCATTGACTTCTTTGTGCAGTAATGAGAAAGAACCATATTTCAGTTACAGCACGGCATGTCAGCTTGATGTGGAAGTCCGAAGTAATGAAGTGTTTTGCACGAACATGGGTAAAGTGCTGACAAACCAAGAAACCTTACCGAGATTCGAACCCACCATCATTAGTTTCAGGCATACATGTACTTACTGGAAGCAACTCCGTGCAACAAATTGCAGTTGGGCCACCACTCGCTTTGTATGTTGGAACTTTTCGAATTCATCAAATTATCTGCCTTGCCACATTCTGCTACATCCCCAGACTCATCTACTATTCATTAGCCTTATCGAATAATAAATATCGAGTGTGAAAATTAAGAACGCCAAGAAAACTAATGTTCCCCATCCCACACAGTGTCACTTATTCTATAAGTGCCATGCGATCAATGCTAAATAGGCAAAATAAATCACTGTGTTTATACCAGAGGGTGGTATAAAGTACGGAAAGCCACTGGTGCCATCGCTCAGAAGGAACGGTCACAGCGGAAGACACACAAAGGTAGGTATATGTGTTATGTTTATGATCGTAGGCACTTCTAGTATTTATCCAAACCCATCTATAAGTAATCAAATGTTGAATTAAACTTATGCGTGTGCCGCATTATCGTTACCTCTATCAGAATTACCGGTTTTCTAGTATCTTTAGATGCTAATAGAAACCATCCGTGAACATTCTGCTGTCAGAAGATCCGGGGTAGAATTGGTCCACCACACAACAGTTGGTCCACTACACAATAGTTGGGACCCGTGGAGATCCGGGGTAGAATAGGTCTTCAGCAACTCATGCTTGCAGTAAAAGGCGACTATGCTTGTCATAAGAGGCGACCAATGGGATCGGGTGATCAGGCTCGATGACTTGGTTGATGTTTGTTATCGCATCCCAATTGCGTAGATCGATACTCATGATGTCAATCACTGGATTGTCTGGTTACGTTTTCTTTTGTTTCTACGTTTTAACAAAGAATCGAGGGGGTAGCCTAGTGGTTAGAGCGTTTGCTCGTCATGCTAAACACCCGGGTTCAATTCCCCAAAAGGTACATAGTGTGAAGCCTAATTCTGGTGTCCCCCGCCGTGATATTGCTTGAATATTTCTAAAAGGGGCGTAAAACCATACTCACTCACTCCATTTAATCTGTGTTTAAACCTACAAAATGATAAATTCCTCTACGAGAGACTTGGAAACTGTTTGGAATCTCGTTACATTGTTTAAAATTACAAGATATTAGAAGAACAAAGACATAGCCTAAGTATAGATACAAATATTACATATTGTAAATCTTGGTCTATAAAGTTTATTTTCCTGTTAATCAACGATGCCCTTGCTTCCCAAAGAAAAAAAAAAATTGCCACTTTTAGAAAATACATATGTAAGTAATGTACAATTTACGTAACTAAAATTGTGAAAATACTAAATCAGTCGCTATCTTTAGCAAACACATTTTCTATACAATTTCTTAGAGTTGTCAACCTGACAAATGTCCCGTTAGGCAGGGTGCTACAACTATATTTTATGCATTCCATTGCACTCTTGGTCACAAGACCGAAATATTACTGAAGACCTATTTTATAACCCATGCTTGCCGTAAAAGGCGACAGTGCTTGTCGTAAGAGGCGACTAACGGGATCGTGTGGTCAGGCTCGCTGATCACTTGGTTGATGCATGTCCCAATTGCGTAGATCGATGCTCATGATCTGCATAACTGGATTGTGTGGTCCAGACTCGATTATTTAACAGACCGCCGTCATATAGCTGGAATATTGCTGATTGCGGCGTTAAACAACAAACAAACAAAGAACACGGACATGCATATATGTGTATTCAGTATTTCGGCCTTGTGATCAAGAGTGCAATTGAATGAACAAACTATAGATGGTGCCACCTAACTGAAACCTCTATATGTAAGGGACCCGTGAAGATCCGAGGTAGAATTGGTCTCCAGGAACCCATGCTTGCCGTAAAAGGCGACTATGCTTGTCGTAAGAGGCGACTTGCGGGATCGGGTGGTCAGGCTCGCGGACTTGGTTGATGCATGTCATTGATCCCAATTGCGTGGATCGATGCTCATGATATTAATCACTGGATTGTCTGGTACAGACTCGATTATTTACAGACCGCCGTCATATAGCTGGAATATTGATGAGTGCGGCGTTAAACAAACCAACGAACCAACTCTACATGTAAGGCATTTAGATGTAATTCGAGTAATCCCTTACTGTGGGCTGATATAAATCATAACACATAAGAATGCAGATAAGCAATTTCGGAAACATCAAAATCTTTATGTCATTATTACTATAATGGGCTAAATAATGTTTTCAGTAAATCAGGTCAGGAAACATAAGAAATAGCAAATGTACATATACATTAAACTACGTTTATAACGAACTCGCTTTTAACGAAATGACCAATATAACGAACCTATTTTTTAGTCCCGACCATTTGTTGATTTGTATATGCTTATAACGAACTACAGTTATTACGAAGTACAATTAGTGGTCCCTTTAAGTTCGTTATAACCGTAGTTTACTTACCTATTCTCTCTTCAACCGGTACCGCCTCCATGGTTCAGAGGTAGAGCGTCCGCCCTGAGAGGGGAAGGTCCGGGGTTCGATCCCCAGCCGCGTCATACCAAAAGACGTTAAAATATGTTACTTGTTGTTACCCTGTCTGGAGCTCGGCGTTAAGGGGCTAAAACAAGGACTGGTCGGCTCTGTACTGTGTCTGGGTAGGGTATTCATGTTAAACTGCGGCATGGGATCTCAGTGGACTAGCATTATAGATCGGCATCAGTCCGGACCAGTACAAGCAGCCACACATACACACAATAAGTGCAATAATCATGGACGCGACTTTAAACCCAATTTCACCTCACCTCTCTTCAACCGACACTTTCTTCTAGTATCTTGCTTGCTTGTTTGTTGTTTAACGCCCTAATCCAGTGATTGATATCATGAGCATCGATCCACGCAATTGGGATACGATGACATGCATCAACCAAGTCAGCGAGCCTGACCACCCGATCCCGTTAGTCGCCTCTTACGACAAGCATAGTCGCCTTTTAAGGGAAGCAGTAATGCATTCGGAGTACCATATTGTAAGTCAGGTGAAAATATTCATAATAAATTTACATAAGCATGGCATCAATTTCAGCCTCCAAATGCTGAAGCAAGTTTTCATCCTGCTGGTTCTCAGCCTGGTCATCTCTCTGGCCTACTCCTACCACACAGTTGGGCGACGCAGCGCCTACAGCGGCAGGAACTACTACTACGGAAACAGCCCGCTCAGCAACAAGAACCTCGTTCGCTATGGTTACGGGTATGACTACAGCCCCGAATATGCTGACGTCAATTACAACTATGGCGGCAGGTATCTTTACTAAAAACCATGGTAAGGGCAGATCAGATTAATTTCTTGTTCTAAAACGTTTTCGACCAGTGAAGATCCGGGGTAGAATAGGTCTTCAGCAACCCATGCTTGCCGTGAAAGACGACTTTACTTGTTGTAATTGGCGACTAACGGGATCGGGTGGTCAGACTCGCTGACTTGGTTGATGCATGTCCTCGATCCTAATTGCGTGGATCGATGCTCATGATAGTAGTAGTAGTAGTAGTAGTAGTAGTAGTAGTAGTTTTGTTTGTTGTTTAACGCCGCTCTCAGCAATATTCCAGCTATATGACGGCAGTCTGTAAATAATCGAGTCTGGACCAGACAATCCAGTGATTAACATCACGAGCATCGATCCACGCAATTGGGATACGATGACATGTATCAACCAAGTCAGCGAGCCTGACCACCCGATCCCGTTAGTCGCCTCTTACGACAAGCATATAGTCGCCTTTTACGGCAAGCATAGGTTGCTGAAGACCTATTCTACCCCGGATCTTTTTTATACATGTTCACATCCCTAAATGTGATCGTCTTAAAAGGGCGAGTTCCAGACTATTTGTAACGGAGTTTCACAGAAGGTTACTGATTGTGACTCGTTCTCCAATACAGCCTATGCAAGTCTATAATATTTGGCAAATCTTGATTACTGCAGTTTCTGAACATGGCTCCTTTTTATTATATTTTTTAAAGATGATTAACAAGATTTTTTTCTCTGAAAATTTTGTTCATTTCAGAGATTAGATGTTCGTCTATTCTCGTACCTACGTATACACTGCAGCTGTCAGTAAACGTTTAACTAATCTGTTTCCATTTCAGGTCCTTAGCGTACTTTGGGGAATTCGGTGGCGTGAAGTTATCTTATATTGTCTTCTCGTGTAGCTTTCATAGAAATAAAAAGAACTCATCATACTATTATTGTTTCCATTTTATGAGAACCTCTTAAATTTTGATGTGGCAAGGTGTTTACACTTAACTTGAAAATACAGCTTCGACGCCCGGGAAGGAGATTATTGACAGACATGGAGGCAACAATTTACCATAAACAACCCTCGTATGTCAATGTCGTTTATTGGAAGTGAAGTGAGCTTGTCAGTGTTATTGCTGGGAATAATTCCTGTGCGGCATCTATCATCACATGTATGACATATCGGACACCCGTCCTTGTCAGATGACGGACATATCGTGAATAATTCTTTATAAGAAATTAATATACCATCCTTCTGTCTCCTTATTTAAAGGAAACCGCATTTATGCTATGATTTACGCTGCACCAAAAACCATTGTCTATATGGTCAGGGATTAATTCATAATTGCTTGTCATTTGGTACATTTTTCATGTTCTTTCCTCAATCACATTAAAATCAGATCTTAGTTCTTGCTGCCGCTAAACATTTCGCAAACTCTGACCGACCAATGGAATTACTGACAAGAAGTCGACATTAGCCAATCAGAAGGCAACTTTCTCGTGCTTTACGTCAAATTGGCGACTACGCTTCGAAACATATTTTGACAAATTCTTAAACAACAAACAAACAAACAAACAACCTGTTACAAGTATCGATGAGTGGGATGTAAATAGATCGATGTTTTCAAACGCTAGGTTTTGTGTGAAAAGGTTTAATTTAATAGAGGTATCAGTGAGAAAAAGGATACGTTTTATTAAACAATCGTGATGGAATACTTATTACTCTGCCTGGCGCTCTATTTCTTTTGGCATATGAATCGGGGCTTCTTCTCGGATTGTAAAAAATTAAAACAAGGGAATCAAAAGTTGAACTTTAGCTTCGGGTATATTGATAATTTGACATCAATAGAACGTCAATCTCATGAAAATCAGATCTCGCTGCCGCTTACAAAGATCTGAGGACATCCCATTACGGGTCACGTCAGACCGACCTTTCGCGAACTCTGACCGACCAATGGAATTACTGACAAGAAGTCGACATTAGCCAATCAGAAGGCAACTTTCTCGTGCTTTACGTCAAATTGGCGACTACGCTTCGAAACATATTTTGACAAATTCTTAAACAACAAACAAACAAACTGTTACAAGCATCGATGAGTGGGATGTAAATAGATCGATGTTTTCAAACGCTAGGTTTTGTGTGAAAAGGCTTAATTTAAAGGAGGTATCAGTGAGAAAAAGGATACCTTTAATGAAACAATTGTGATGGAATTCTTACTACTCTGCCTGGTGCGCTATTACTATTGGCATATGAATCGGGGCTTCTTCTCGGATTGTTGAAATTAAAACAAGGGAATCAAAAGTTATTCGACGTAACAAGCGCCCAGGGCGCTCTCAAAATTAGAAATAGGGGGCTCTTATTAGAATATTATTTTGGTGAAAAAAAACAGCTGAAAGATCGTAAATTTCGTGGTTTATTCTGACAGCCTGAAATGTTGACATACGACAGATATATTTTTCCAGAATTTAATTGCCCATAATTAAGGGTGCATATAACACACAAGTGCGTATTATACACAAATAAATAAGTCTTGTGTACATTGATCAATCGGAAGGGGTGCTGATTGGGATTGTTCTCTAGCCAATATATTAGCAAATATCGCCGTGGGCGCTTATTAGAGCGGGGCGCTTATTACGTCGAATACGGGTATTGATAATTTGACATCAATAGAATGTGTGAGGAAGCGCCGGGATTCACTGCACATAGTTGCGTCCCTTAGACACACAAGAACTCCAAATTCGACCTGATTATGTTTCGTGGTTTGTAAGCACCATTCTCGGGGTTTTCACGAAAGTGGTAAAGTCTGGACCACCACCTCCCACATCGAGCCACCACACCGTGTTATAACAGAAATACTGTTCAAAACAGTGTTAAAGAAAAACTATGACGATGCAAATGCTTGTCGGAGCACAGTCGCATGATTGCATCACAATAGTTGAACTGTATATCGCCCACCAACGGTCTAGTTAGATCAAAGTAAGACTATGGTTTGATATTAATGCTTCATGGGAATTGGTGATGACTTGATTTGGATTATTATCAACTGAGTCCGTAAGTAACGGAAACCAGTAACTAGGCTCTGGCTCTGTGATTAACACATTAAAGACGTTGGATACCATTGTTCATGCGCATACCGGACGCGCATGTAAGGGAGAGTATTTATGATGCGGTTACGTCCCTTTGACTCGCGGCTAATTGTACTTGAACTCATGGAAATGTAAATTTGGGCAAGAGTTACCTCCCCTGATTCATTATTTTAGGGGTTTGCTGTGTTGATTGAAAATAATTTGAATATCCTCTGGTAACATGTTGTTTTTATTTTATAATTTTATTTTGCAATGAATAAACATTAGAAATAAGCCAGTTTGAAAAATATCTTAATTTTGTAAAATGCTTTATTGACTGATGAATCAATTTTTTTGGAAAATGCGCTTTTTTTTAAAGTCAAATGATGTGTGAAATTAAAAATGTTTTGACTTGAATTTTCATTTTTCTGTTTTGTGTCATATCAATACTGTAATATGTCTATTTAAAAACACTCATTTTATAATCAAACTTTAAAATGACCATTTTATTGGCAAAATGATTGTATAATCCGGTGCCTCTAGATGGGGCCACTTATTCAAACAATGCCGTTGTGACTTGGTTTTTTTATTGCCTAATTTGATTCAGGACATATTTTCCTACAAACTGATACCAAATATACCCATTTCTTTATTTTTTTATTTTTTTGTATGCAACCTCTTTAACCCCGAGGCTATGCAGTCGCTCCCATCCGTAAATATTTTACACACCCGCGTTAAAAAACAGAACATTTCAGACATCTTGCTAGGCATGTATCATTGTTTTATTGAATACTTTTGATATACAATAAGATGCCTGCTTGTACCAGGGCTTCTGTATGAAGAGACATAAAATCTGAACGTAGTTAGAGAAATAAAGTTTGTATGCTGTCAGAGTTAAAACAAACAACATGAATGTCGTTAGAGAAATACATTATACATGTTTTACAGACATAAAGTCTTCCTTGAGAGGCATTTAGAAGCTGGACTACTTAGACATAAAGTCCGTATGCCGTTAGATACACGCCGTGTGCCTGGATAGGTACAGGAGATCCGTAACAGGACTCAACAACGGCAGTAACGACTGTCAATGTTTGGACCATCACAACCACAGTTACAGGGTGAACAGGCCCGGTCTCGTGTCTGGACATGATTGTGACAATTTCCCCATGGTGCCCAAGGAGTCCATGCCCCCAGTTCCTCCTTCCAGGGGGTCAGGTCCACCGTCTCCAGGGAGCCGCAGGGTATCCTGAAAGGAGGAGTTATGAACAATATGAGTTATGAATAATAATTAAGCTCACCTGAACTGGGTTATACAAGCTGAGATAAAGACAGGCTGTCCACTCACCCTAATCTGACATGATGTAGCCTTATATGGGTTGTCGTTGCATTATTGGACGGAGTGGTCAGGTTGAGTCGCTTGTTTGATAGCATGTCAACGTGCCCCGTCCCGGAGTATGTGAGTGAGTACGGTTTTACGCCGCTATTTGCAATATTCCAGCACCAGAAATGGGCTTTAATCATCGTGGACCGTTTCTCATAATATTACTCACTGATTTTGCCGGACCCGATAACCTTCAGGCTGCCGATCCGGGCACACACTGTAGCCACTCCAGCTGTGTCACGTGTATCAGGCTCCTCCGATAAATAAATCCTTGTATTTATCGGAGGAGCCGGAGAAGAAGAGCCTATCCTGCCCCCGAAACCCCATGATGTGAATTTTTTTTTTTTAAAGATGCAAAATCCATTTTCACAATAACGTTCATTTATGGATCGTCTGGTAAGTCAAGCATAGTTTTGTATGCGTGGACGATTAACTAAAATTGTTTTGCATATTAGATGATGGACTACATGACAAGGTTCTGTTTTCCTTTTCTTGAAACAAACCGCGCCGAATTTCATCGTAGGTGTTTGAAGAAGACGTAACGCTGCCAACGCTGCCAATTGCCTACGCCATTTTCTGTTTCCTATTGAAAGCTCTCAACACTGATATACCAGTCGCTGCATTTCGAATAGAATACAATATGCGATCAGTTATAATAAATTTTGCATATACATGTATCTTAAACAACAGACTTTTCTCATAAAGCAAGTTGTTTTTTTCTTCCGACCGACCGCTCCCTCTGAAGTTGATCATGAGAAAAAAACACAATATTATGAAGGACCTTAAAAGGAATACTTACTTATCACCCTTGACGAAAGCATTCTCCTGTATACTGACAGTGTCGGTGTTATCGCAGAATATTCGGGACAAACTTGCCTTGCGGATTTCAGCCAGTTGCTCTGCAAAATACATTGACTTCTTGTAACACATTCATTGTAAAAATATCCTAATTATATTTTCTGAATTTTCTCAATGATATTCCATAAGTTCTTTGTTGTGCTTTTTTATCCTTGTACTGTCTGGCGTTTCAAATGACGCCCTAACTTCAAATATTGTCGTGAAGCTGTGCGTTGTGCCCGGGAATTAATTTTCAATGCTGTTCCTGAACCATATTCCTTCAGTTCTCTGTAGTTTTCTTATATCTTTGAATACGTACTTGCATTTCAAATGATGTCACCGGACATGACGTCATAATTAGAAATCGTGGCGCCACATACTGCGTAGAGCTTGAAATAACACGAGAAACGGGCGAACTCGAACACGACATAGACGACAGTGCCCCCCCCCCCCCCCCCCCACACACACACACACACACCCACCCCACCCTCCTTCCCCCTTGCCCCCTCTGTGCGTGCTTGCAGAATGAGGTTTACCTAAACTCACATTTAATTCCCAGGAGTTCCATGGTTCGGTGTTGATAAACGAATCATAACCGATTCCAATCTTGAACCAACGATGAGTCGGTTATGGTATGGCCACGAAGTGATTATTTTGTTTCAGCATTTTTGAAAACAGATACTTTTTAAAATCCCACACACCCAAGAATAGCGCATGGTAGGCCAAATTGGAAGCATGCACACCAGCCGCATATTTTTCTTACCTATAGAATTAGTACATTGTCAGGAAGTGCTTTGTACGTACTCTCGTAAGATAAGCACCTCAGTACCCATTTTAACATCACGTACTGTCTCTGTTATGACTGCATATGATGCACAAATATATACACTTCCGAGCAAAAAAAGTATACACTTGAAAATTGGCAAAAGAATTACAAACGTTATCAAAACGTTACGAGGCTAAAAACAGTCGCCGAAACACTGCAAACTTAAGGTCCAAAACAACTTTGATACTCGTATCAAATACATCACAATCTCGTTTGTTTCAAATTTAGCTACCATCAAATATTAGGGTATACTTTCTTTTGGCCGTCAGTTTATATATTCCGGAAAAAATACAAATAAATGTGTTAGAATCTAACCGGGGGAGAATTTAGCGTAGTCATTGTCTTCTTCAAACCAGAATCGGTCTCCTTTCCTGAGAGCCTCAAATTGTCTCCCGAGGAGGCAGGCTAATGTTGGTCCGACGACTCCACCTGTTACAGGTTCTTCAGTCAGTCCCCCTGTCCACAGGTCAATGTCGTCCACATGCCTGGAACGAGTGTGAGTGAGTGAGTGAGGTTTAACGCCGCTTTTAACAGTATTCCAGTTATATCACGACGTGTCAGCTTAATGCGTGATTAAGCCATCTGTTATGAATATGCACTCTGAATTTCAGGTAATTTGTTTGTTTTTTGTTTATTGCTTTACGACACACTCAGCAATATTCCAGCTATATGACGGCGGTCTGTAAATAATCGAGTCTGGACCAGACAATCCAGTGGTTAATATCATGAACATCGATCCACGCAATTGGGATACGATGACACGCATCAACCAAGTCAGCGAGCCTGCCCACCCGATCCCGTTAGTCGCCTTTTACGACAAGCATAGTCGCCTTTTACGGCAAGCATGGATTGCTGAAGACCTATTCTATCCCGGTTCTTCACAGGTTCTTACTCGTATGCTGCCGCAAGCTTGACAGTAGAGGCATTCGAATGGGTCGTCAACAAGCCGTCGAAATCAGTTGCCTCAGGAAGCCCACAGAACGTCCTCCATTTAGTGTAGGCGGGTATGCCGTGATCACGTGCTCTCTGGATGTTGAGCGATGCAAGGTCCATGCTTCTGTTACCGTCAGGGAACAGGTGATCGGTCAACTCTTGAGATACTTTACCGTCTACGGACTGTACACATTCTGTTACCAAGCCCCTAAGAAAGCCACCGACAGTTCTGTTCTCTTCGCTTATAATAAGATGGGTATTATCGAACACTTCCCTCAGTTGGTTTTGCCCAAGATTGTCATATGCTGGACTATAACTAGATAAGAATAGTCGGACCATGGAGTGACCAAACCTATAGGCGGCTGTTGCGAAGGCGTTCCTGATGCTGGCATCGGTTTCGTTATCGTAGACGTTGGAGTATCCTGACGTCTCGAGCGTCAGTTCATGCGCATTCATCTGATCTCCGTTGATAAGAGGCAGGTAGTCTCCGTAGGTTATTTTCTTTAAATTGAATATGGACGGGTTAATATTTGTTTGTTTGTTGTTTAACGGCAGACAATCCAGTGATTGACACAATGAACATCGATCCACGCAATTGGGATCGATGACATGCTTCAACCAAGTCAGCGAGCGTGACCACCCGATCCCGTTAGTCGCCTTTTACGACAAGCATAGTCGCCTTTTACGGCAAGCATGGGTTGCTGAAGACCTATTCTACCCCGGAATCTTCACGGGTATCCACGTAATTGGGATACGATGACATGCATCAACCCAGTCAGCGAGCCTGCCCACCCGATCCCGTTAGTCGCCTTTTACGACAAGCATAGTCGCCTTTTGTGGTAAGCATGGCCATGGGTTGCCGAAGACCTATTCTAACCCGGAATTTCACGGGTTGACATGTTAATGAGTGAAGCCATCAGAGTAATCTTATCTGAATAAAGAAGTCGTCGGAACGTAGCAACGCCCTTTATCAATACACAGACAGGGTGAGTGTGAGTTTTTGAGAGTCGGTTTAATGCCGCTTTGAACATTATTTCAGTTACACCAGGTGTGTCAGTATGATGTGGAGGGACGGTTCGTGTCCCCCGCGAACACGTGTGTGGTATTGACAAAACATTATCATATACACAGAACATTAATGAGGTCAACAGGTAGTCGAACCACGATCATAGGTTTCTGGCACGTCTAAGGGACGCAACTCTGCACATCGAATGCAAATACATGTACATGAGGAGTACCATAAATAAAGGCTTTAGTTGTACTTGGTTGTACCTGCGTTTATTATTATCATCATCATTATTATTATCATTATTAATATTATACAGCAAAGATTGTTTGGGTGATCCTGGCTCAGTCAGGCTCATCATCAGCTCAGGGCCCTTGCCCCGACTTCACGCAGCCCAGACAGTGAATCGGACTTCTCCCAGGAAACGCTACATAGTCAAACCCACCCAGAACCTTTTGGAGAATGTGAAGACTCCTCAACACTGCACCTTCTGAATTACCCAGATTGTCAGAAGGGCTGTATTCCTGGTAGCAAATCCGGGTACTCTCCCAATGTCAGTCAACAGATTGGAAGGTACCAAACCTAAGGCACCGAGAACAATGCGGAGTCGGACAACTTGGTCCCTAGGATGCAAGCGTGACATTTTGAAAGAGAGGTCCGCATGTTTGCCATGTTTTTTTCTGAATCTTGTCAATCACATTTGTGTCAAAAGGGACAGAGAATTCATTTATTAATGGGTAGGTCTGAGACTGTATACGGGCCTATTCCAAAGAATTTCGTATTTCATCCCAAACTGTGCCTGTGCTCAGTACAACTTTTATACAATAACCATCTTACCTGCACGTATGCCCCAACGATCTTCCTGGCTTCCTGGAATATCCTCTCATCCCCCCAGTGACAGTTCAGGTCCTTCAAGGCGGTTGCCAAACGGTTGTGTTCCCTCATGAAAGTGGTTTGCATACTCTGCAACCCAGGGTTCTCATTCACCCGATGGTCACCTAGAAAAATAATTATATAGTGACGTATGGCAAGCCATTTTCACATTTATTAAGGAATTACAGATATCTTCAATTGTTTTAAAGATATCGGTATTTTATTTAAAGATATCAATAATGTTTTTTAAGATATCAAAATATAATTAAAGATATCTTAAATTCATTTCTGATATCCATAATACAATTACTGATATCTTAAAATGTTACGGTGATATCAACAAATTAGTTTGTGATATCTCTAAATGCATTCAAGATATCATTAAACAATTACCCTTCTAGTGTATCTTGTAATAAGTTATACATATCCACAATGCATTACAGATATCTTTAATTCAATTAGAGATATCTTTAATTCAATTCAAGATATCATTAATTCTGACCGTTACTGATATCAAAAATCCAATTAAAGATATCATTAATAATTTTGATTCAATTATTGATATCAGTAATCTAATTTAAGTAACATTATTATAATTAACATTTTTTGATATCAATAATCGAATTTAAGATATCTGCAATTCTTTTCAAGATATCAGTAATACGCTTCGCCATATCCTTAATTCATTTCGTAATATCTTAAATTTTATTTCAGGTATCGACAATTATCTGCATTTAAGATATCTTCAATTCAATTGAAGATATCTTTAAAACAATTGAAGATATCTGTAATTTCGTAATGAATGTGAAAACGGCTTGCCATAGTGACGACTAGTTGGGATCCATTTGACATTAAGACTGTCAATGATCCACACTCCGGCGCAGTGGTGACTGAGCAGAACACCACTGCCACATGCTAATTTGCTGGTCGCATGGAACTCTGGGTAGGAGAGTGTGTTACGACGTTAATTGTAATAACGCGGTAAATTGTAATAAACTGCGGTAAATGTAATAACACTGCGGTAAAATGTAATACTGCGGTAAATTGTAATACATACTGCGGTAAATTGTAATAACTTATTACAATTTACGTCGTAACAGAGTGTCAATGATCAGGAGAGAACCCTCGATTGATTGTGGGTTTAAGTGAGTGAGTATTGTTTTATGCTACTTTTAGCAATATTCCAGCAATATCACGGCGGGGGACACCAGAAATGGCTTCACCCATTCCACTCATGAGAGGAATCGAACCCGGGCGTGACGAGCGAACGCTTTCACCACCGCCCCATGTGGGTTAAGGTCGCTTGAACATTATTTTGCGGCGTAGCAAAATGGTTATAGCGGTCGCATGTCTCGTCGAACACCTGAGCTCGATTCCAACAGTGACCACAATAAGTGAAGCCCATTTTAAACATAGCTGCATCCCTTATCGTTCCTGGAATCTGCAATGGGTTAGAATCCTAGATTGGTCCTTATACAGTAAACTACGGTTATAACGAACACGCTTATAACGAACTGACGGATATAACGAACTTACTTTTTAGTACCGACTATTTGCTGCAGTTATGCTGTATATATGCTTATAACGAACTACGGTTATAACGAACTAAAAATTGTAGTCCCATTGGAGTTCGTTATAACCGTAGTTTACTGTATTGCGTCTCAGTTTGTCAGCAACAACAGCTGTTTAAGGTTTTCATTAGAGCGGTCAATCTGATGCGCCGTGATGTAACAGTTCAGTGCAAGGCGGCGTAACAACATTTTACTCACTCCTTCAAAGGACCCGTGAAGATCCGGGGTAGAATAGGTCTTCAGCAACCCATGCTTGCCATAAAAGGCGACTATGCTTGTCATAAGAGGCGATAAGGGATCGGGTGGTCAGGCTCGCTTACTTGGTTGATGCATGTCATCGTATCCCAATAGCGTAGATCGATGCTCATGATATCAACCACTGGGTTGTCTGGTCCAGATCAACAGACAAGCAAACGAGCAAACAAACATCCCCTCACTACACTCACCGGCAAGAAAGCAGTAATCTGGCGAGGTCTGAGTCCTGCAAGCCTCTTCATTCTCCGTGTCTTCTGGCAGGAATTCGTCGTCTACAGTTCTCATTTTTCCTGACAGTTAAGAAAATCCTTACTTTCACGTGAACAAAAACGAATGACTAAATAAATATTATAAGGTACCGTTTTGTTACCCTTGACAGGACGTTGTTTCTATGTTGTTATCGACAGAATATATTTTCTAGGCCTAAAACATAAATAAGTTTTTCCCCAGAAAGTTAGAACCAAACAATTTTATCACAACGGATTATTTACCATTTCCAGTGAGCGATTTTTTACTTTTTTAAGAAACGCTTGAGCAGATTAATAAAGATAATATCAAACGGCCTGTCCTTAAAAAACTCACCGTCAACAAATGTCCGTAGTCTGTTCTGTTCCTCCTGTGACGACCCGTACACCTGTGAAGCGTCTATGTAGGCTGTGATCTGGTTCATCTGCTCTGCAGGGGCTGGAAGTATAAGTGAGTGAGTGAGTTGGGTTTAACGCCGCTTTTAACAGTATTCCAGTTATATACCAGTGTGTCAGCCTTATGTGGGAGGGAAGCCTGAAGTGATGCAGGTCTCAGACGTTTACCACTTTAGTGAAACCCACGAGCACGGGGATGGTCCTGACAAACCTAGAAACATAATCGGGACTAACCGGGATTCGAACCCACAATCATAGGTTTCTGGCGTGCCCAAGGGAATCGCCTCAGGCGACTAGGTCCCGTGACCCCCCTGGAAGTTTGAAATGATACAAACGAAATTACATGTACAGGTACGCCATGTTTCATCAGCATCAAGTCATTGTAAAACCGTCAAATCAGGTATTCTCAACCTTCAGTTCAGGAATTGTTAGGATAAAGCTCAGGTATTCGCATCCCTCAGTTCAGGAATTGGTACGATATAGTTCAGGTGTTCGCATCCTTCAGTTCTGGAATTGGTACGATATAGTTCAGGTGTTCGCATCCCTCAGTTCAGGAATTGGTACGATATAGTTCAGGTGTTCGCATCCTTCAGTTCAGGCATTAATACGACATAGCTCAGGTAATCGCATCCTTCAGTTTAGGTACCGTATTGGTACGATATAGCTCGGGTATTCGCATCCTTCAGTTTAGGTACCGTATTGATACGATATAGCTCACGTATTCGCATCCTTCAGTCCAGGCATTAATATGATATAGCTCGGGTAATCGCATCCTTCAGTTTAGGTTCCGTATTGGTACGATATAGCTCACGTATTCGCATCCTTCAGTTCAGGCATTGATACGATATAGCTCAGGTATTCGCATCCTTCAGTTCCGGCATTGATACGATATAGCTCGGGTATTCGCATCCTTCAGTTCAGGCATTGATACGATATAGCTCGGGTATTCGCATCCCTCAGTTCAGGAATCGGTACGATATAGTTCGGGTGTTCGCATCCTTCAGTTCAGGAATTGGTACGATATAGTTCAGGTGTTCGCATCCTTCAGTTCAGGAATTGGTACGATATAGTTCAGGTGTTCGCATCCTTCAGTTCAGGCATTAATACGACATAGCTCAGGTAATCGCATCCTTCAGTTTAGATACCGTATTGGTACGATATAGCTCGGGTATTCGCATCCTTCAGTTTAGGTACCGTATTGATACGATATAGCTCACGTATTCGCATCCTTCAGTCCAGGCATTAATATGATATAGCTCGGGTAATCGCATCCTTCAGTTTAGGTTCCGTATTGGTACGATATAGCTCACGTATTCGCATCCTTCAGTTCAGGCATTGATACGATATAGCTCAGGTATTCGCATCCTTCAGTTCCGGCATTGATACGATATAGCTCGGGTATTCGCATCCTTCAGTTCAGGTTTTGTACCCTAAAACTCAGATATTCGCATCCCTCAGTTTACCTTTTGATAGCCTACAACTCGATTTTTCTCACCAATCGACTCATTTTAACTCCGGGTTGTACGCTACCCTCACTCATCAACTCATTATAACTCTGGAACCCGTGGAGATCTGTGGTAGAATAGATCTTCAGCAACCCATCCTTGCCGCAAAAGGCGACTATGCTTGTCGAAAGAGGCGACTAACGGGATCGGGTGGTCAGGCTCGCTGACTTGGTTGAAGCATGTCATCGATCCCAATTGCATCGATCGACGCTGATGATGTCAATCACAGGATTGTCTGATCCAAACTCGATTGTTTATAATCCCGCCGTCATATAGTTGGAATATTGCTGAGTAGGGCCTTAAAAACAAACAAACATTATTCCTCTGGAAAGCTTAAAACCCAATAAACTTGCAATGTATACTGACACAAATGCAACCAAACAAGCTGTAATTGAAAAATTCATACCTGATTTACAGTTGGCGTTCTCAATTTGCACGGAGCGCACAAAATTCATACACGTATAATTGAAGCGTCTGTCAGGCTGCACGATGTCAATAGCAAGGCACTGGGGTCTGTCGAAAACAAGTACTCGTTGTCAGAGAGATACAGTTTTTAGAAATGCCTTTACGGGGCATATATACATGTCGTTGTGAAATAGCAATTGGTATTATGAAATGGACATAGAACTATATGTTTGTGACTTTTATTATTCGATTAATCAAGCTATAGCATTGTGGCCTGTAAATATTGTTTTATTTGTTTGTTGTCTAACACCACACTTAGCAATATTCCAGCTATGTGTGACGGCGGAATGTACATAATCATGTCTGGACCAGACAATCCAGTGATTGACATTATGAGCATCGATCCACGCAATCGGGGTACGATGACATGCATCAACCAAGTCAGCGAGCCTGACCACCCGATCCCGTTAGTCGCCTCTTACGACAAGCATAGTCTCCTTTTACGGAAAGCATGGGTTGCTGAAGACCTATTCCATCTCGGATCTTCACAGGCCGCTCTGTAAATAGGATAGCATTGGTAAAACAAGACTAAAGGTAAATAGCAGCGTGATGACACGCAATCAACTTTGTCACTGTGTTTGACAACCTTACGACAAGCAATAAAGTACTAGGGGCCTTGTTTGAACCTTACCCTACGGCATCCGACGTCCTGTACACACACGTATTGAATATTGTAAGTACAGTAAAATACGTTTATAACGAACACGCTTATAACGAGCTGTCGGATATTACGAACTTAATTTTTGGGCTCCGCCATTTGCTGTATAGATGTTGCATGTATGCTTATAATTATAACAAAAAGGTTATGACGAACTTAAATTAGTGGTCCATTTGAGTTCGTTCTAACTGTAGGTTACTGTAAAACACGTTCCTGATTACTATGTCAAAGTTCAAGAAAGAAAATAAGTTACCTTTTATCTAATTCGTCCTGTGGTACGCCTCCACTTTCAGCGAGGCCTTCACAACAAGCAACCGTTGAGGAATGGCTACCTGAAAAACCAAACGTTATAAAGAACAAATTTTCAAGAATTTTTTCACTTGAAAATTGGATTTGACCCAACACTTTCCAACGCTATCAAAACATCACAGGGCTGAAAGAAGTCGCGGAAACACTATAGTGAGTGAGTTAATATTTAACGTCACATCGGCAATATTGCAGCCATATCGTGACGACGGAAACACTATAAACATAATGTCCAAAACACACAATGATTCTCATATCAAATTTATCTGATTCACCATAGTTGGTTGGTTGGTTTGTTGTTTAACGCCGCACTCAGCAATATTCCAGCTATATGACGGCGGTCCGTAAATAATCGAGTCTGGACCAGACAATCCAGTGATTAATATCATGAACATCGATCCACGCAATTGGGATCGATGACATGTATCAACCAAGTCAGCGAGTCTGACCACCCGGTCCCGTTGGTCGCCTTTTACGACGAGCATAGTCGCCTTTTACGGCAAGTATGGGTTGCTGAAGACCTTTTCTACCCCGGATCTTCACGGGTCGTTGAAACATGTACTTCGAACTTACATCCAGGATGCCTTAGCTCTTGAATGGGAGTACTGGTGATGTCGTGGTCCAGGAACTGACCCCACTGCATCAACATGACGGTGAAGTTGGCGCTGAGGTCGGCGTCTGTTGAAGGGATGTGGACGGTAGTGCTGACGGTCCGAGCACTGGGTAACAGATTAGGCGCTCCCGACACGGCAAACTTTCTCGGGCTCGACACATCTATACTCAAAGTAAATTGTAAATTCACCTTTAATTTCACAGAGTACACAGAAATGAAACTTGAAAACAAAACTAACAATCATGAAATACTCTATTCCCCAGCCAATATGACATGTCCGGTTGCTTTGAAAACTCGAAAAAGAAGTTTTATTTATAAAATCCCAAACTAACAAAAGGCACCAGTTAACCACTAAAACTATCTATGAGCCACGTATGGTTAAGATATCTCTCGTGGATTCCGAGTTCTGCTCCGGAAACGAAACGTGACGGACGGACAGCACCCATACCAATACCCTCTTCCACTTCGGGGCGGGGTAAAAAAATCTCCGACACGAACTATTTATAGTCTGTGCATGGTCACTTTCCTCCCACGTTAACTGACATGGCAAGATGTGACTGAAATACAGTATCAAGTGGCGTTAAAATCTACAAACCCAAGCATTCACTTGTTCAGGAACCCACACTCACATATGCTGGGGTCTGTGGTTCGTTTCAAACCTGTATCAATAGGCACACGCCATTACAGCCGGCGAGGGCGGTGAGATTAAGGGGTAGGTGGCAGTGTGTGAGGAGAAAGGCAATGTTCTAGCTATACGACGGCGGTCTTTATATATACGATCGAGTCTGGACCAGATAATCCGGTGATTGACAAAATGAGCAACGATCTCCGCATTTGGGACAGGATGACATGCATCAATCGAACCTCACCACCCGCATCACGGCGGGGTATACCACATTGTATCCATCGAACCCAGACCGCGGCTAGACCATCGAACGCATTAACCACCGGCCTATCCCACCACCCCGGGGCGAAGAAGATGAAAGAGACGTACTGTCCTCATATACCGGAGTCATCCATCGCCTCATTGGAATAAACGACCTCCCCCACGATGTGTGTTCGAGGTTGTTGCAATGGCCATCGGCTGTCCGGAAGGCGGATTTCGTGTTGCATGTGTATTCCACGTCGCAGATGACCTCGGGTCCAAATCCTTCCTCCAAAATTGACGTTGGTACGTCACCTAATTGCCGAACTCTGTAATTAAAAACGACAAAACTGTTGCCATTGTCCTGAGAAACGTCTTCCAAAAGCAGAGGCCATTGTACGATTCCGATTACGTTAATCACAAACACATGCAAAGGCAAGCCAATTGACCATTTGATAAACACGGGAACATATGATACAAGTAAAAAAACTGTTTGAAATGCGATTAATTATCTGTTTCATTTTGCCAGTCGACATTCAATAAGGAAGCACCATTGGGATTTGGTATGAAAGTGTACAACTTGACGTGATTCCGTGGTATAAGAGTGGCTAATCAAGCAACGTTGTTTTCATAAACAGTCCATTAACATTAAACAATACAAGACGCTAGCGGTATACTGTATCTTGATTGGCTGACAATAAACTGGGCGGCGTGTGTGTTGCATGACAGCGCTGATCGATGATACTAATTTCGTATCGTTACCTATAGGTTATTTTATGTTCACGATTAGATAACCAGGATGTGAAATTATTATGGTTGTTATTATGGCCATATTTGCATATCGGCTGAATTTGTGACAAGACTACCGCATAGGGAATAAAATCCGTAAATCTGAAAATACATAATGATTATGTCCTTAGCGCATATGACAAATAAACTCACAGTTTTAAAATAAGCGTCGATATGATGACGTTGAGCCGATGTTCCTCTCCCCGGCGAGTGCTGTCGAGGGAGGTGTAGGTGATGGAGCTGTGCTGTTGTATAGTAGAGCCTGCTGCATTCGCAGCTTCATCTGCACCACACATTGATTTTATTATCGATCTTACATGAACCCCCACATGTAGTATTAGGATCGATCTCACCAGTTGTGAAATCTCGAGGCAATCTTCGTTGAAGTGGCTACGTGTCTCGTTGATACAAATAGTGATAAAATAAACGTTCCACGTTACCTTGTTAACAAATATTATTGATTTTATAGAAACAAATTTGAAAATTGTAAATCGTCCTGTTGTTTACATTATTTATTTGAATCAGTAGGTAGTTATCAAACTGAAAGCTACGTTAATACAAATAAAACCTGTGCTATTTTCTCAAACGTGAACACACACACTCATATCTAAGCCATTGGTTCGAGACATGTCAGAAGAGAAATCTTTATTGTAAGGAAACTATATGAAGCCACCATCCGTACCTAAACTGAGGAGCAAAGAAGTGAGTGAGTGAGTGAGTTGGGTTTAACGCCGCTTTTAACAGTATTCCAGTTATATCGCGGCGTGTCAGCTTAATGTGGGAGGAAAGCCCAAAGTGATGCAGGTCTCAGACGTTTACCACTTTGGTGAAACCCAGCACGTGTATGGTGCTGACAAACCTAGAAACATAATCAGGGCGAACCGGGATTCGAACCCACAATCATAGGTTTCTGGCGTGCCGAAGGGACGCAACTCTGCACAACGAATCGCGGCGCCTTAGACGACTGGGCCACCCGTGCCCACGAGGAGCGAAACTCGAAAAGAAACTCAGTTGATTTCATCATATGTTTGATTTTCAACTGAATATTAAATCTTAAATTAGCGATATTATATCTAACAGAAATGAACGACTCTTAGTAAACTTAGTAAGCACTCAAAAACTTCTACTAGATCGTCTTATTTGTTAAAAAATAATTTACTTAAACACATAAAAATATTAAACTATTCGCATAATGAAATGACAACTGTTGATGTGTATCTTAGAACTTCATCTTTGTAAATCAATAAATTTGCCTTTTTCGACACAAATTTACAACTTTTTAAACATGATAGTGGTCATGTGACTGCAAATTCTCACCTGACCCAAATCATCATTGAACCAATTTATATTTACACAAACGAAATCACCCACAGTATACGTTTTACAAAGTGTTTCATGAATGAGCTATGATGACATAGGCATCAACTCAAATATAACAACTGTAATATTCAATTACATAAAATGCCAACTCGGTATACTTCATTTTACATCTGATATTAATCTTGAAGGCAGTAAGACCAAGGAACATCAGCTGTGTATTATTTAAACCACTGTGATCATATATACCGTATTCGACGTAATAAGCGCCCCGCTCTAATAAGCGCCCACGGCGATATTTGCTAATATTTGCACCCCTTCCGATTGTTCAATGTACACAAGACTTATTTATTCGCGTATAATACGTGTGCTATATGCATCCTTAATTATAGAAATTAAATTCTGGAAAAATATATCTGTCGCATATAAACATTTCAGGCTGTCAGCATAAACCACGAAATTTACGATCTTTCAGCTCTGTTGTTTTTCACCAAAATAATATTCTAATAAAAGCCCCCTATTTCTAATTTTAAGAGCGCCCTGGGCGCTGCTTATGTCGAATACGGTACCTAAAATATATCTATATTTACCTAGATCTTCGCAGCTGTCCTGTAAATCAGTTTCATTCTTTAATATTGCCAGAGCTTCTAATCTGATTGCGTCCAACTGACTATCCGTCAGGTTGAAGTATGACGCCAAATCACCGCCTATTTTATGATCAGCCATGGCAACCATCAGATGGCATCCAAACAATAGTAGAAGTAACATCATGCCCTGGCGTAAACGACATACAGAAAAAACAAAAGTATTATTTACCTATACAGTAAACTACGTTTATAACGAACTCGCTTATAATGAACTCGCGAACTGACGTATTTTACGAACTAATTATTTTTGGCCTCGGCCATTTGCTGTCTATATGCTGTACATATGCTTATAACGAACTTCGGTTATAACGAACTAAAATAGGTAGCCCATTTGAGTTCGTTATAACCGTAGTTTACTGATTATGGAATTTAAAAAATCGTATATAACTTATTTTGAGTGAGTGAGTGAGTGAGTTGGGTTTAACGCCGCTTTTAACAGACGGCCCAGTATTCCAGCTATATCACGGCTTGTCAGCTTAATGTGGGAGGAAAGCACGAAGTGATGCAGGTCTCAGACGTTTACCACTTCGGTGAAACCAACGACCACGGGTATGGTGCTGACAAACCTAGAAACAATATCAGGGGGAACCGGGATTCGAACCCACAATCATAGGTTTCTGGCTTGCCCAAGGGACGCAACTCTGCACAGCGAATCGCGGCGCCTCAGACGACAGGGCCACCCGTGCTCCCACTTATTTTGAAGTTGCATATATATTTATAATGTATTCCAGGCAATATTTCCGAAGAAATAATGTTTGTTTGTGTTCCAGCTGCATGAGTCAATGAATATGTGCCAAAACAGTTTCATCAAATCGTATGTTCATGTTTAGCACCACTAACAAGCGAAAAGTGTCAAAATTAGCCAAACGTCACATTGTGACCATTTGTCGCGGTTACATTCTGATCGGTTGAACATCTCGAATGAAGATGATCGGATCTGTCGAAAAACGCCTCAGCGCCTTCCTTCCCATTCGGTCGAATCGGTGACACCCGTGAAGATCCGGGGTAGAATAGGTCTTCAGCAACCCATGCTTGCTCTAAAAGGAGATTATGCTTGTCGGAAGAAGCGACTAACGGGATAGGGTGGTCAGGCTCGCTGAGTTGGTTGATGCATGTCATCGATCCCAATTGCGTGGATCGATGCTCATGATATCAATCACTGGATTGTCTGGTCCAGACTCGATTATTTACAGACCGCCGTCATACAGCTGGAATATTGCTGAGTGCGGCGTTGCTGTAATCGGGGTTTAGAATAAAGGAGGACACTTTAAATACGAGAAGTGGTTCGACAACAAGAACCAGGTCCCACGGTAGTCTCCAGTCATTGTTGGATCTGCTACAAGCGGCGACGCCACACGTGACCTTCGAGCATGACGAGCTTCATGTAGACGATATCTAATCGTTTGACTCGTAAATCGTACTCCTGTGGTCTCATGAATGTGTGCAAACGTTTTATTCTCTGTTTGAGCTCGATGCCGTTGACGTGGGACGCCCTGAACCGGATCAATCAACAGTTTGAGTTTGTTTTGTACTTGTTCCAGGGTCTGCTTGCCACACGCTGTGAAACATGAAACGTACTGGCCACTGCAGACTGACACCTGCCTACCTTATTTACTAGAACTATCAATCACCTTACGCATCTCTCTTGCTCATTTTCTAGGTTTGTCAGCATCATACCCGTGCTCGTGGGTTTCACCGAAGTGGTAAACGTCTGAGACTTGCATCACACCACAGAGAATTATATGTATCGCATGCAACTATGAATTTAATTGCCAAACAGATAACAAGAACAAAATCACCGGCCCCTAGTGCTTTTTTATTTTTCACTCCGTACTTACACAAATGGGGGAATGTTGCTATTGCTACGTCTGAGACCTGTATCACTTCGGGCTTTCCTCCCACATTAAGCTGACACGCCGTGATATGACTGGAATACTGTTAAAATGGGGGTTAAACCCAACTCACTCACTCACTCACTCTCTTGCTCGTTTTAGAACAGCAAATCATAGATTACCCATTTAAACAGGAAGATGGTATAATATTGTAAGAGAGGAAAGAAAATGTACGTTGTATAAAAAAATTGATATGTGATGAAATGCACTTTTTATTAGAATGTCCAAAACTCTCAGAAATTAGTTTTTGCCTCAATACTACTGTATGTATCCTTCTGCCATACAATTCTCTCATTTGATGTCCATTACTTATAAGCCAATTCTATTAAAACTGGCGAGTTATATAAGATCATGTATGGAAATGTTCCACTGACATGTTTTCTCCTATTGTATCTAATTCATGTATCCAATCACATCTCTGTATCACTGCCGTGATTTACGAGAATAAACATCATTCGAGGCCAGTTTTGTCATATTAATATAAACAGGAAGTAAAGTAAATAAAAGCGACAAAAAACATTTCAATTAAGTCCTGTGAGATTTGGTGTGTGTTCGTACTTGCAAGAGACCTTATAGTACTCTCGCAAAAAGAAAAAAAACACGTCCCATTTTAATCCTGGAAATCCAATAGTCCAGAAACTCTTCATGCTATTGTGGCCAGTCTCTGTCAAAGGTATTTACAAAATTGAACATGCTGTTCTCATGGGTACATAAAAAGGAAGAAAATATGTAAAATTCTTTTTTTGAAAGTTGCCAGCATGACAACAGCTCGCAGAAGCCTTTGCGCCTTTGCGTGCGGCAATTCACATTCATCAACAAATGTCACTGTGTCTGTAAGATATTGTTTTTGATAAATTTTGGATGTGATTCTACACCTCATTGTGGTCTCAATAGCATCATAGAATCGTCCATATTACATTTATAGTAAAAACAGTAATTTGAGAGGTTTCTGAATTATTTCTGATTGTGGCCGTTGAATGAATGAACCTAGGCTCAAATATGCAATCCATTTAGTTTTTGTTGTGTTTGTAACTGAACATGATTCTCAGTATTCTGCTGTTCGTGATCCAATTTAAGGTGCGGTCTCCCCTTATCCCACCATGCATTTAGAAATGCAAAACAGTTTATCGTCACTAATATATTTAATATCAATATGCTGAAGCGAAACCTTTTACATCACATGAGTAGATGTAATAAATATTATTCAAATAATTTTCAACACAATTATTTCACTTGCCTCTGCTTTTCGAAATGCTCTTCCTACCTCTATTAGAAGTGTATGGTTTAATTGTATCCCGCACGACCAGGTTTAGACGAAAACTACATTAGATGAAAGTGCTTTATATATATTTTAATAAAGTGTTTAGATAGTACAAAATGAATACCGCTTTATAGACTTATACTGTTCGGAAATAATTCTTTCGGAGTGAGTGAGTGAGTTGAGTTTGACGCCGCTTTTAACAGTATTCCTGTTATATCGCGGGGTGTCAGCTTAATGTGGGAGGAAAGCCCGAAGTGATACAGGTCTCAGACGTAGCAATAGCAATATTCCCCCATTTGTGTAAGTACGGAGTGAAAAATAAAAAAGCACTAGGGGCCGGTGATTTTGTTCTTGTTATCTGTTTGTCAATTATATACATAGTTGCATGCGACACATATAATTCTCTGTGGTGTTTATCCCAGTTCTGGTCGCTACAGACGTGGGACTGGAGACTGCTACCTCCGGGCGTCTGATGCTAAAGTTCCTATTTACGGCGTTGAGTTGTTGCATGAGGTTTGTGATCCACGGAACAAACAGTGGTTAATAAATGTTTGAATGCAGTAGGCATTTTATCACTGCCCACAGTCCCCCAAAATAGCACGTCGATATTGCAAACAGGTCTTTCACCATGACATGTTCATGCAAACATGCATCACAGTTTGAAATGGTGCGTTTTGATACGCTGCTTGTAATTTCTTTTGGAAAACTCAAACTTTAAACTATGTTACCCATGGGCGAGAATATTTTCCTTTGCTAAAAACTCATGTTTTTCTTTGGCAAAAACATAAAGGTTTGTCTACAAGCATCGTGACACATGATTGAACTCATTTTAACTTAAATCAACTAATTTATTGCGTTATTTAAATATTTCGCCCATGGGCGAGAATATTTTCACTCACTCACTAAATGGATTGGATTATCATGCCCAGTGACCGTTGCCGTTTCTAGTAAAGAATGCGACATATGAATTCGCAAGAAATCTGCAACTTCAAAAGCAAATTTGAAAAGATACAATTTGATATATTTGCTTATAAAAGGTATATCATAACGTTACAAGCTGTCATGTAGTTCAAAGGGACCACTATCGAATTTTGCTCACAGATCAATTGACAGCTGTACGACAAGTTTTGTGAAATAGAAATCTGCTGGAGAATTGCCTACGATGTCGGCGAAATGTCGGTCCCAGTTCTCATGTCATATTAAACAGGAAGTAAAGTAAATAAATGCGACTTAAAACATTTCAATTAAGTCCTTTGAGATTTGGTGTGTGTTCGTACTTGCAAGAGACCTTATAGTACTCTCGCAAAAAGAAAAAACACGTCCAATTTTAATTCTGGAAATCCAATAGTCCAGAAACTCTTCATGCTATTTAGGCCAGTCTCTGTCAAAGGTATTTACAAAATTGAACATGCTGTTTTCGTGGGTACATAAAAAGGAAGAAAATATGTAATATTCTTCTTTTGAAAACTCAAACTTTAAACTATGTCGCCCATGGGTAGGCTCATGGGCGAGAATATTTTCTTTTGCTCAAAACACATGTTTTTCTTTGGCAAATGAATAAATGTTTGACAACAAGCATGTTTAATGGCGATTGATACATAGATTAAACATCTCCATCTCCATAACCTGAGTATAATCTCACATGTACTTTAAGTACCGTACTATATAACTTTGAGGAGACATTGATTATCATTGTATGCTGTCGGAATGACTTTACACAAATCCCTGCGTCAAAGGACCCGTGAAGATTCATGGTAGAACAGGCCTTCAGCAACCCATCCTTGCCGTAAAAGGCGACTATGCTTGTCGTAAGAGGTGACTACCGGGATCGGGTGGTCAGGCTCGCTGACGTGGTTTATGCAAGTCACCGTATAGCTCATGATGTCAATCACTGGATTGTCTGGTGTAGACTCGATTATTTACAGACCGCCGTCATATAGCTTGAATATTGCTGAGGGTGCCGTTAAACAA